TTAAAGAAATTTTAGATTTCGGTACGGTAAAAATCGTGGGTAAAATTTATCAGTGACGCAAAATTTGTACATTCTATCAGAACAAACGATAATACATACGGCGTACCATTTAAAAAATTTGAGATTATTTAATTTTAAATAGTCGAAATTCATAAATCAGAGCTAATATCTCGCAGTCGAGCGAGCCAACCAAAAATACGGCCAGACCGTGCCGCGAGCTTTCTTTAATCGGCCGTCGCAAAACCCACAGAGGAAGGATAGCAACGAGGCTCCATGGCTTGTCTCGCGAGGCTCTCGCGATACACGTCCACACTTAGCGAATTTGGAATGTCTCGCGCTCGTCTCGTTAGGTCTGGACGCACCTTTATAATCGATACATTGATGGTTTACATTAGTAGAACAACGATTTGTGGCATAAATATGTCATTCAATTAACAAAAAATTCAACAATCATAGTGAATTAACTTTTCTATTGTTTTTTTTCTGTGTACCTAGACCGTCCAATCAAAGTATCGAGAATTTCCCGATGAAAGTGCGATAAATTACTGCTAATACTTATTCAAAAGTACAGTAATTGTTCTAATAGACTCGATCGGATATGAATAAATAACATATTAAAACAGCTGCAGTTAAAATTCTTACGATGTGTTTAATTACGGCTGTTCAGTTATATCCAACTGGTTTTTTTTCTTCTTGTTTCCTCTAGCTTTTCTCCTCGTTTTATTTTTTGTGTCTTTCGTGTGGATTAAGTCGGTTTCTAGTTTACGCTCAGTCGCAATCGAATATACAGGACGTAAACCGACAAATTAGCTCGTAATAACTGTCTTATTTAACGTATAATTAATTAGTAGTATTTTTTATGTCGTGTGTAAGTTATTTTAAAAATAATTGATTTCCTAGTTTAGAGAAGGAAATCAATGAAATAAGATCTGTTACAAAGTAATTATTAATAGTGATGAGCAAAAAAGACTCCCTTCCTCTTGTTCTTGGTCTTGCAATCTAATCAGTAGTCTTGGTCTTGCTGCAAGGCTCTTGTAAGTCTTGCATTTTTAATAGAGTTTTACTAGAGGCTAAAGGCACATTCTACATAGAAAATCTTTGAATAAGCAGTATTTTAAGAGTCCATTTCACCAGTCCGAAAAAGTAACAAAATAAGCATTCGGCATTTAACGTTTTATGTAAAACTGGCTAGGTATTTTTACACAAATGAAGAAGGAAATTGAAGATAAAGGATTATACTATATATGTATTGACTGTATTGTAGCACATTTTTAGACAACTTCTTTATTTTTAAGATTTTGATGGTCAAACATCAACAAAGTATTCCTTATGTTTGGATTAAATTTTTTCGAAAACAAAGACATAATTAAAATTCCGTTACAATACGGAAATAGATTGAAGTTTTGTGATTACAGTGATATATAACTTATATGGTTTTGTAACAAATTGCTCGCTATTTTATGGAAAATGCTGAAGCTTAGCAAACCTTAATCCAAGCAGTAAGCACGTGTTTGGAATTGTGGGTGTGGCTTAACACGACAGGATCGGGCTAAGCCTTAGGCAGATTTCTGAAATATAATATACAGGGTGCTACTAATTCGAGGTACAAGCATTGGTATCTCGGTAACCGTAATAGATACGAACATGGTTAAATCGGGGCAAAATTGCGTTTTGGGATGTTCAACAAGATGCCATCAAAAAAGTTTTAAAAATTTCAAGGTTTGCTGAGTTTTTTGGAAAAAACGGATTTTTTTGAAAATTAATTTTATTTTTTCCTGTCGTTACTTTTAAGAAAATCAAAAAACGAATTACACATTCTCATAGCCACTTTATTAGGGCTATCTGATAGTATTTTTAGATTTTCAAATTAGCTAATAATTTGTGAGATACAGAGGCCAACTTATTTTTTTTAAATACGGACCTGCATTTTTTATTTCCGTTTTGAAAGAACTCGCTCCCCTGAGTACAATGATATGCCACACTTTATACTTTTTTTTTGTGTTGGGTACCTTAACAACAAAAAACTATTTAATTATTATTTAAAATAATTTCAAGTCCGACTCTTGTCCGACTCTGTTTTTTTAAAATTATTTAATCTGATTTTATTCATCACAACAATATTGATCAGCGCTAATTAATATTGAATAAGGAAAATCGAGCCAATTGGAAGATTCAAATAAATTATATATCCAGGTCAGCAATTTATACATTGTATTATTTTTAACTTTTTTTATTGTGAATTTGAAATCTTGGTGTGCGATCTAATAATATGCTTAATATTCATCGTAGTTATTATAAATAAATCAACTTCTACAAACTAGTTTCTAATGCTCTACATATGTTCGAAAGGGTTACCACCCTCCCTATTGCACAAATTTATTTTTCGTTCAATTTTTGTTTATAGCTCTTTGAACTTTCTACTTATACTTCCGAAAGCATTTTGTACTCTTTATTGTAAATGTTGAGATGTATTGATTTCACTTTTCTAAATGACGTGAGGTAATAATGTATTCATTTCTATATTATTTTTTATTATTTTATTGCCTTTGATTTTCCATACTCAATGTTTTACCCCACGTCATTGTTAAATTTGAAAGCTTATCAATATTGTAACGATGAATAGATTAAATATTTAAAAAAAAACAGAGCCGGACTTGAAATTAGTTTAAATAAATTGTGCAAATGACCGAAACAAAAAAATATTAAGTGTGGCATATCATGGTACTCAGGAGGCCAAGTTCTTTCAAAATCTGAAATAAAAAATGCAGGTCCATATTTAAAAAAAATAAGTTGGCCTCTCTATCTTACAAATTATCAGCTAATTTTAAAAATCTAAAAATACCATCAGATAGCCCTATAAGGTGGCTATGAGAATGTGCAATTAGTTTTTTGATTTTCTTAAAAGTAACGACAGGAAAAAATAAAATTAATTTTCAAAAAAATCCGTTTTTTCCAAAAAACTCAGCAAACCTTGAAATTTTTAAAACTTTTTTGATGGCATCTTGGTGAACATCCCAAAACGGCAACTTTGCCCCAACTTAACCATGTTCGTATCTATTACAGTTACCGAGATACCCTCGGAGATACCAGTGCTCGTACCTCGAATTTGTAGCACCCTGTATATTTCCTTCGGCCACACACCCGCTTTACCCGACCCCTTAGAGCGACCCGAAAGTACTGCGTAATAGACTGTTAAGATATTTAATGCGAATAAAACTTTAAAGAAAGGAACATATTTATTCGACGATTTTTTTATTTTTCAATATACAGGGTGTTTCAGAATAAGTGTCCAAAAATTCAACTAATGGTAATTTATGAAGTATTTTTAAGTAAAAAAAATGTGTTCTAAAATGCTTAGTTTTCGAGATACAGGATCCCCATTCATTCTAGAACAAATTATGTATCTTAATTTCTTGCCAGAGGAACGGTTTTCGCCTGAGAAAATAAAAAAAATATTTCAACGCATGGGAAAATTGCAAAAAATCGATATGATGTTAAAAATTTGAACGGTATTGGAAAAAATTTTAGAAAATATTTTTGAAACGATTTTTTTTGTTAAAACTTTGACATCCTGTATCTCAAAAATGAAGCATTTTAAAACATATATCATCCCCTTAGATTAGAACTAGTCTATGCCCATTTTCTTAAAAGTTTACATGGGCAGAACTATGTAATAGGGACTTGTGGATTTAATCTAGAATGTAGAATGTTTAGGAGGGGAGTTAATCACCGTGACCTTACACATTCATTGTGTTCCCCTTTCTTGAGTTATAACGAACTATAATTCATCATACAGTCTCAGGGCTTTAACAAAAGCCAGTATCTGAGACGGCTTTACAGAGGCAGCTCTCCATCCTCGACATCAGCCGCACCAAAATTCATGGCGTCTCGGCGCACTCAGTGATAAGGTGTTCTAGTGTTTCCCCATTTTCCCCACAGAATCTGCATTCGCCGTTGTTTCTCAGCTTCAGCCTACTAAGGTGTTCGTTGAGGAGACAGTGTCCTGTGTAAACCCCGTGACAATCCGAAAAAATTTCCTTAAATTAAGCAAAAACTTTGATTTTTCTCGGTCGTAAGTTCTGGGGAACTTTTTCGAGCGTCTTAAACCGTTGAACACCCATTCCAGGTTACGGATGGAGTCTTCCAGGTTCTTCAGTTCCGCTTTCAGTTGGTCCCCGCTTGGAAAACAGAACGGTTCTGGTCCAGTTAGTGGAGTGTTCACTCCTTTTCTAGCTAGATCATTTACTTTTTCATTGCCTTCTATCCCATGGTTAGGAGGACTTTGTTTTCCTCGCCTAATTTCTTGAGTTTCTCTAGGCATTTTTTGAGCAACTTCGAATTGATGGTTACTGAGTTGATTGCGTTTAGTGCTGGTGCTTCCTTGGTCTTTTTGTTCAACGAATTAGTCCTAAGGACTTTACTACTGTATCAAATTTAAAATAAAATAATATATTAATACAAAATTTTTCGTGGGACACCTTGTATTTATACTATTTATTTCTCTATATCCTGTAGAATTAGCGGAAAGTTTACCTGACATAGACTTGTTTTTATTTTATTGCCAATAGAAATATTACATTAACTGTTATTTTATCTAGATCTAGCTCGTGTAACTGACGCAAAAAACTAATAATGTATATAATTTCGCGACATGTTATTACTTTTTTACTTTAGATATGATTAAAAAATGCATACAATTATACAGGGTGTCTCAATATTCCGTAGACATAGAACTACTATGGATTTTTGCAATCAAAATAAGAACACAAACCTCTATACAAAATTGCCTCGTTTGTTCGTTAGAGGACATCAAAGTTTTAAAAAATAAACATAATATATTTTGTAATATATTTCAAGAACTTTATACATGTAGATGTAAATTTTGTGTATTTTGTTAAATCTCTTTTGATTCTAAAAATACGTAGTAGTTCTAAATGTCCACAATCATACAATCAAAATAATAGATTTTATCCATACAATAAACTTTTTTCTATTTTCAGAGTATTACAAATCCCAGCTCGTGGGTAGATAAGCACCATTTCCAATGATATGGGCCAGCAAACGTCAAGCCACCCGAAAAATCTCTTGTTGCATCGAAAACTGTCAGCGTTCCTCTTGTCCAGGTCCCGCAGGACCACGCGTACCCCTCACCCCGCTCAACCCATCAAATTCCAGTACAAAACTGCCCGGAACAACAACACCAATGGTGTTACTACCATCAAAAACGACAAGCAACAAATTAAACCCATTGACAATTTGGCCTCTGTTAAAGACAAAAATATTTTGGCGGAAGAAATCAAAAATACTGAAGAAAAGAATGTTAAAGTCGGTGTGAGATTGCCTTTGAGAACCAAGAGTGAACCGAATATAGGATATGAGAGACCTAGACATAGGAGGAAAAGTAGGAAAGTTAGTAAAGGATGTTATGAGAGTAAGGTGGTGCAACCATTTGGGTATGAAATACAGGATGTGGATGCTTTCTTGGCGAAGGTAAGTGAAAAAAAAAACATTAAGAATTTTCTTTTCTTTTTGGCAGTTTAACAGTAAAACAATTAATAACAAAAAACGGTACCTGTTAATTTAAACTATAATTTTTAAATATTACTAAATAACAGTGGAACTTATTAGAAATAACAGTTGGTACTGTAATTTAGAACAATAGTTTAATACACTCTCCGTTTGAGTAACCTGTTAAATTAAGCCAATAACTTTTATACACATATAGTAGTACCTAAATAACAGTGGAACTGTGTATCAAAATAACAATTGAAACTCTTATTTAGAAACAACAGTTTAATAGACATCTCTCTTTTAGTAAACTGCTAAGTTAAGCAATAATTTTTATACATAGGTATAACAGTACCCCCTAAAGAACAATACAACTGATACCTCAAAATAGCAGTTGAAACTGTTATTTACAAATGGCAGTTCAAATTATTATTTAGAAATAACAATTATTTGTACTGTAGTTTAGAAACAACAGTTTAATACACATCTCCGTTTGAGTAACCTGTAAACTTAAGCAATAATTTTTATCCACTGCAACCAAACTGTAACCTAAATAACAGTGTAACTGTTATATCAAAATAATAATTGAAACTGTTGTTTAGAAATAACAGTCGAAACTTATTTATAAACGACAGTTCAAATTGTTATTTATAAAAAACAGTCGGAACTGTTATTTCTAAATAACAATTGGGACTGTAAATCAGAAATAATGGTTCAACTAGTTATTTCGAAATAAAAAACAGTGGACAGTGTTATTCCGAACAGTCGGAACAGTTATCTAGAAATAACAATTGAAACCGTTAATCAGAAATAACAGTTGACACTGTTATTGAAAACAATCGGAACAGCTATTTAGAAGTAACAGTTGACACTGTTATTCAGGAATAATATTTGGAATGGGTTTTTCGGAATAACAGTTGGAACTGTAATTTTGGAACAACAGCTTAATACACCTCTCTTTTAGTAAAAAATCACAAACAATAAAAATATATTAGCATAACATTTCATATTGCGTGAATAAGTACTTAAGACGTACAATTTCCATTTTAACGATCTAGGTATGTTCCTCTTAAGCAATTAAATTCTACTCTAATTAATTAAACAATCTAAAGGATTTATAATTAGTTACTTAGTAGCTCCGCTCTTATCTTGTCTTAAATAAAATAACTAAACTAATAAGAAATATCGCTGTAAAGATCGTTGTCCTTTTCCGATACAAATTCGCTTGGTTAAGTAGCGATCTAGTTGAATTTTTGCAGGTTCTTGGGTGAAGATACAGTCATAAAGGCACCGGGAACGAGTAGCGCGACATTCTTCCTAGTATATAATCGTCGCTATTACGGGGAATCTAAATTATTTCAGCTCGTTAGCGACATTTTCGGTACCACACGAAACAATTAACTGTGGAATGGTCCCCTTCTGTGGATAACTCTATCCGGAACCGTTAACATTCCAATCGGTATAGGTTCAGACACTTTTTGTAATGTTTTTTCTTAATTACTAACATAAGAAATCGGTATTTTGCATCATTCCTCCTATCCTTATCTGTATTTTCATATTTACTTCAATTTTTAAAGTAGCGCTCATTTTAGAAATAAATAAATAGATACATGTACTAAGTGATACAAATATACAGGGTGAATGCAAGTAATTTTAGGGGCAATATATTTCGACCCTAGAAACAAGTCTGTGAGGTTTTTTTCAAAAGTGACTCGTCCCTATATCTTTTTTGTATTTTCAAACAGAAAAAAACGAGAATTGGTGTGTTTGTATTTTGTATATGATATAAATCAGGCTTCATTGACGTATTCAATTATTTTCGGTCACTTCCTGTTTCACCGGAAATTACTACAACTTTTGATTTTTAAATGGCACCCTCGATATTTTTTTTACTTTATCCGATAGAAAATGACATTTTGAAGAAAATTACATCTCATATATCAACTTTTGACATTTTTGCTTAATTTTTGTTATTTGTATTGGAGATAATTGGTAGTTATGTAATATCGTTATTGCGCTTATTTAAAAATAGTATTTCTTATACAGGGTGGTCCGAACTGTATTCCGAAAACTTCGGCAGCATATTCTGCAGATAAAAATAAGTAAAAAAAATTGTATAAATGTATGTCCTAAAATGCTTAGTTTCAGAGATACAGGGTGTAGAAGTTTCATTTTTATTTCGATTTTTTCTAAATAATTTCTGAAGTAACCTCAATATTTGTATGAAAATTGGTGTCTGGGAGTTTTTTGACATGAGAAATTTGATTTTGATGTCAATATCACTCCTACTAGTAGAGGGCGCCACCTACATGTATTTTAACTGTTTTGAAGCATAATAACTTTTTGGCCGTACCTGTATAAAACTACCGAGCGAAAAAATATACATCTCTGTGACTTTTTACGTAAAAAATATCTCTTTGTAAAAATCGCTACGAGCAACCGTTCTCAAGATATTTTGAATGGAAATAGTCAATACATGTCATTATTGACGAAAAATAAACACGTTGAGTAGATAGTTATTTCATTGAAATAATAAATTTGGGAAATTTTTAATTTTTCTAAATTAATTATAATTTTTTCTGCAAAAAATGATGATAAAACAGTTTCTGTTGAACTTTTGGCACAAAAACATTTCACATTTATGATTTCAGTCTAATAACTATTTAGTCAACATGTTTAATTTATGTTAATAATGACAGGTATTGATAATTTCGATTCCCAATATCTCGAAAACCAATATTCGTAGCGATTTATATCAGTAGTTTTATACAGGTACGGACGCGAAAATTTATTACTCTTCAAACCAGTTAAAAAATATGTAGGTGGCGCCCTCTAGTAGTAGTAGTAGTCATATTGACATCAAAATAAAATTTCTCATATCAAAAAACTCCCAGACACCAATTTTCATCTAAATATTGACGTTACTTCAGAAATTATTTGGAAAAAATTGAAATAAAAATGAAACTTCTACACCCTGTATCTCCGAAACTAAGCATTTTAGGACCTACATTTATACGAACTTTTTTACTTGTTTTTATCTGCACAATATGCTGCCGAAGTTTCCGGAATACAGTTCGGACCACCCTGTATGATTAAAAATACGATTTGGGCATCTTTTAACCAGCCAGGAAAAGTCACGAAAAACATTAGACTATCAAATCTAGTTTTCTAATGCTCCTTGATTAAAAATTAGTGGCTTTATCACAGCCATGGCACTCTAGATTGAAATTTAAAATAATTTTTCCTAAGCAAAAACGTCAAAAGTCCAGTGAAAACGGAAGTAACCGAAACTAATTGAATACGTCAATAAATCCCGATTTCTGATATATACATAAATACAAAATATCGTTTTTTTATCTGAAAAAATAAAAAAGTTATAGGGGTTGAATCACTTTTGCAAAACACCCGGTAGGTGTATGGATAATTATCCGGCGGTATAAACAGGAAGACCGTTCAAAATCCACATTTTTTCCGGTGTTTGTTTAATTTAAGGGATTTTATTAAATTTTAATTAAGCTGAAAAACGACGGGCTGACACGCTAGTCCCCGATAGTTTATTGCTAGCCGACCGAGTATATACTTTACTTTGTAATTAGCCATTCGAAATCCCCTTCCTATAATTACGGTATCGGCGAGTCTAAATTATTTGCGAATAAATTGTTTTTAGCGTCGGCCGCATATCATTCAGTCAGTGGCGTAACGTAGATCGGGGGAAAACTACCAAGAATAATTAAAAAAAAAATTAATTTAATTTGAATGGATCCAGCTTTCAATAAAAAGGAGAATTAATCACAGCGACCGGATACACGGTGTTTTAAAAAACATGTACCACCTCTCATGGGGGAGATTTTGCTTTGTTTCGAAGCTACAAGGGGTTAAAGTCTTAATTTTTTTTCGATTTATTACAATTTTCTTCCAAGTACTTTTATCAATTTGAATGAAATTTTGAGGGTAAAAGTTACTATAAGTGCTACATATTTTAATGCTAAAAAAGTGTCGATAAATTCATGAGGGACGTGCATATGGGTTATCACTTGAATATTTTTCAAAATAAAAAATTAATGTGCGCCACTGACTTTTTTCTTTTGATATCAAAATTGTGTAGGTTGTTTAATGCCAATTAAAAGTTGTATCTTGCTATTTTGTTGATTTCCATCTCCCTTATTGAGATAAACGCAATTTTATTCAATTAATTTTATTAATAAATTATATATTTTACCTAATTTATTATTAAATATTATTACTATTAGTTATTGTAATATATTTGAATATTAATTTGGATAAATCTTAAAATGAAATATATTAGTTTGTAAATCGTGAATGTTTTTTATAGATTTAAGAAATTTGGCCTGACTAATTTTTATATGTACTATTATTGTATCGATATATTTTAAACCAGAATAAAGCACCTCTCATTTTGGCCTTCATTGTGTTAATGCCTATAAATATAAATTATTTAATATATAAATTAGTTCAACTAAATAATAATAAATTACATAAAACCTAAGTATTTTACAGTTATTATTATAAAAAAATTTTTATTTAAGATAACTACAAAAGACCTAATTTAAAAAGTTTTAACATCCTGTAACTCTAAAACTATGCATTTCCATACCCATGTTTATAAGAATTCTTTTCATATTTTTTTGAAATAAAATAAACTTGAAAAGTCCAATTTTCAGAAATCATTAACCTATACCTACGTTTTCTAATTATTTTATCAACTAGTGAAGGAGAATATCCATTACACTCAGCTACATTCCTAATGTAATCTCTTTCTTTTTCATATCTTTCGCTGGAAAGTGGAAAACTAAGTAATCTATAAACTAAGAAATTTAAACTAGCCATTTTATGTTCAACACTATGATATGATTCATTAGGAATATCTGCGTGTAGTGGTATTTTTCCTATAGATATAAAATTCCAGGCAATTATTATTATTTCTAATAACTAATACATCTAGAAATGGTAATCTGTCGTTGTTCTCAATTTCATGCGTAAATTTAATGGAAGGAAAACGATTATTTAACTTAGAAATTAAATTATCTATGGTGTCTGCATGTGTGTCAAAAACAGCAAAAATATCATCCACATACCTAAACCATACTCTTGGAAAATACTCAAACTGATTCTTAGCCTCCACTTTAAAACTGCTCATGAATAAATTATTTTCTAGATGTATTAGTTATTAGAAATAATAATAATTGCCTGGAATTTGATATCTATAGGAAAAATACCACTACACGCAGATATATTCCTAATGAATCATATCATAGTGTTGAACATAAAATGGCTTGTTTAAATTTCTTAGTTCATAGATTACTTGTTTTCCACTTTCCAGCGAAAGATATGAAATAGAAAGAAATTACATTAGGAATGTAGCTGAGTGTAATGGATATTCTCCTTCACTAGTTGATAAAATAATTAGAAAACGTAGGTATAGGTTAATGATTTCTGAAAATTCGACTTTTCAAGTGGAGAAAGATACGTCAAAATATTTTTCAATACCGTTTGATAGAGAGTTATCCCGTGGTCTAAAAGGAATTTTTAGAATGTAATTATAAACTTGTGTATAGTGCTAATAATAAATTACAACAATTATTAGGTAATCCAAAGGATAAAACACCTCCACTGGAAAGGTCGGGTATTTATGAAATTTCTTGTAAAGATTGTAATCAGAAATATGTTGGGCAAACTAGAAGATCAATATTAACTAGATTTAAAGAACATTTAGCTCAGATAAGATATGGAAGACCGGATAAATCTTGCGTTGCCGAACATATTGTTGATAAAGAACATTGTATAGATCTTAATCATTTAAAATTAAGTAAACAAGTCTCAAATTACAGGTAATTAGATGCATATGAAAGCATCAGAATTAATAAATGTAAAGATAGTATGAATAGAGACAACGGTCCAGTTCCTTCAAGTTCTTTGTTCCTACTACTCTAGTGGCGGAAATTTAACTGTTACGCTCGGTGGGCGCTGACTTGGTTGGCTAGATTTTGCCACGCCCACGCGGTGCCCACTGAGCGAGTATAAAAACGCTCAACTTGTAGATTGTATTTTAGTTTATAATCATCTGCTGATGATGCTAACATGGTTAGCGAAACGCGCGTCCAGTGTAAAAGTAAAAGTGTTTTGGTGTATTGTGGTGATTTAGTGTTTTTATTTTGCTGTGTAACACCAAAGGTTCCAACCCCCAACTGTAATCCTGCTTTTGTCTCAAAATCGTGTTTACTTTTTGTCGCCATGGTCTGGACCCGGCATTAGATCCAATCTTCTGAGGTGTTCAGTGTTCACTGAGGAGACAGTGTCCTGTTAAAAACCCCGTGACAGTCCAAGATTGTTTTTTGTTAAATTATGGAAAATCTCTAATTTTTCTCAATGGGAAGTTCTGAGAAATATCTTCGAGTGTCTGAGACTGGGTCTGGAGTTCTACTTTAAGTTGGTTCTATAATATACAAAACATATGGCACATTCCAAAGCAGATAAAATAATGAAAAAAAAAAAGAAAACGGGAAAAAATGCCGGTGAAAATTGGTATTAAATGAAGTGGGTCGAGGCAAAATACAACCCACGGTATAATGATAGAGCACGTCCGTCCGAGTGTCTCCCCCTCTCCCCTCTTCTTTCGGGTCCCACCCACGATCTGGGGGCCGCGACTTATCGATATTTATTAATCTAAATTACATCTTGGAGCCGACATCAGCGATCGGATGAGGGGTAAAGTACGAAATTGCCCAAATTAGTCGGCGAGGGGCCGTACCACTTCATTACCTTAGGAATGTCCACGATAAAAATACATCGATTTTTTGTGATATGTGATGCATTGTTATACAAGGTTCGTTTACAAAGACCGTTCTTTTTTGGATCTAAGTGTTTAAAAGATTTTTAATTTCATATGGTCTCAATTTGCTTATTTTTAAATACAGGGTGAGTGTTAAATACGTGCAAATAGTTTTAGTGGTAGTATATTTTGACCCCAGAGACATGTCTGTGAGGTTTTTTTCGCGAAAAAAAAATTGAAAATTTGGAATTTTTTGAAGATTTTTTTTTTAATTTTTAGTTAAAAAACACAATATCTTTATAATATAGCAATATAGGTAGTACATTAAATTTACAAGTACAAAGAAAATCCAGAAAAGATCCAGTGGTTCTCAAAATTTAAACGAAAAAGCAATTTTTTTGAAATCTTCAAAATAAAATATCTGGGTTATTTTGGACTTGAAAAAGGGTAAAGAGAATATGTAGTTATTTTTTATACAAGACGAAAAATGGTATTTTATCGTCGACCGAAAAGATTAATTCACGAGCAGTGAATTAACTTCGGGAGGCGATAATGCAATTTTATCGTCGTGTATAAAACAATATTTTTTTCCATAGTGAGTTACGTTTTAAAAAATATTCAGAAATTATTATTTCAAGGAATTTATTACGAGTAGAAAAAATATTGTGCTGGGTTGGCGTTGGTTTCTATGTAATTTGACAAATAAATAAAGCTGTCTCTTGTTGTCAGTTTTGAGTCAATATTTTTTAATTCTCTTTCGTGTCGATTGCTGATTGAATTGGAGCCAGAAATGGCTCAAAACAAAATAAGTAAATTACCAACAGATATTCAGGCTGAGGCGACAAAACCCATATCCAAACTACTTCCATTTAAATTCCTAAAAATAATTTCCTGGAATACATCCTATAATACATGATTTTTTTTATATACTTTATATCTGCACTTAACAAAATTTATCTACCCCAAAGAATATACCTAGCTAGATTATCTACCCTTGCGGTTAAAGTACATACTATTTTTGATAGATATAAGTCAATTTTAACAGTTGCTATGGAAAAAAATATATTTATCGAGATCGACTAGCCTTGAAAATATTTGCACTTATTGTAACTCACCCTGACTCATCCTGTATAAACATCTATAGAGGGTGTCCTAATATTCCGTGGACATAGAACTAGTACCTACTACGTATTTTTGCCTCTATACAAAAGTGCTTCGTTTGTCTGTTAGAGAACATCAAACTTTAAAAAAATAAACACAGTTTTTAAGATATTTTAAGAACCGATACTCCGATTTAAATGGTATTTAGGGTGTCTATGTTTTGCTAAGCGCTTTAATATTTGACTTTCACAAAAACCAAGAATATGTACGGGAAGGGTAAAAACTACCCCACCCCTACAAAAATGTTAGTATAAATATTTTCCAACTCCACTGACGACTGATTTTTTTTTCGCAAAATGGTCTTCTAAGTATTTACTACATTTTTTGTCTCTAGTAAAAATAAACGCCACATCACATCGCATAGTTTCTGAGAAAAAAAAATTGGAGAATGACCAATTAAACATTAACAGGTTAATGTTTGGGTTTGGTTATGTTTTTGATTGTTTTGTTTTGTATTATTCTCGAGATTAACCGGTTAATTTCGACATTAACCGGACATCGGACTTTAACCGTAACATATACACAATTTACATACAACTAACAATACAACTGACAATTAAAACTATCTTTTGGCACCTTCGCCAATTAGTCCACAATTTTTCTATTACGGAGCACTATCCAAAAACTGACTGCCCGGTCGAGCGCGGGAAGCGCCTTATATACTGTAGCGGCTGCTTCCAGAACTTTCTGTAATTTTCTATAACATTCTGCCCTCTACCAGTAAATTCTGCTGTTTGGCTCGAAATTACAAAACTCGCTTTTCCTCTATTCGCTCGTTCCCCGACAGATGTCGCCATACACCTTGACAATAAGATAATTGCACACAATTTACCTTTATATAAAAGTACTTCGTTTGTCCGTTAGAAGGCATCAATCAAAAACAAACCAGAACATCAATTAATTTAAAATATAATTTGTGATACTAACGTAAAATTCCATATTCCACTGTACACACCACAAACCAAATCTTTTTTTTTCTTTTTAGCTTCTAATTTAGTAAATCCCCAATTAGCATCTTGGGCTTCGCTACTATAAGTCAGAGAATTAATAGTATTTAGTACTATGACTTTAATCTTTTTTTTAGGCGACTCTACATAAACCAGCAAATATACCGGTAGTCCTAGCTTTCCCCAGCGTGCTCTACCAAACTAGAGTGGGGGGCTATCAGGCAGAAATTTCCCTTCCTTTGGGCATGGTAGTCAATGCCATATTCAAGAACCAAAATTGGCTGTATGTCCAAACACCTCACGCGGAAGAAGGATATGTTAGCTACTCCGCTTGTCTACCTCTAGGTGAGACCACATATTTACTTATTTTAATAATAGAAGAACAGTTAAACTTCCTTAAATTAAAAATACATCTTTGGTTATTACGTCACAGATTCCCTCCCTCTTCGAATTTTTTTAATTTTCAAAACTTCATTTTATTGGACATAAAATTGCGAAACTTTGTCTCCTCGAATTTGGGATAGCTTATACAAGGCAGGTACATACAGGGTGTTAAGAACTTTTTGTCATACTTTTAGGTATTATACCATCTCCTGAGGACGACAAATTATCGCCATGTTGGGAAAAATCAACAGACGTATTCCCGAAACCTTCCGGCAACATGACAGACACAGAAAAACTTAGTTGTAAGTCCGAATGTGGCGCTGATGTCGAGAAAAGTTACTGTAATAGGGAGAGATACAGAAGTGCCTTTAGTGCGTGTGGAGAAAGGAGCGTGGATAGGCTTTATCTCAGAGCTACTGCTATCGCGAAAGGTATAATTATTATTTACAAAAAATAAGAAACTAATTATATTATACAGGGTGATCCGAATTGTATTCGGGAAATATTCATTCATAAATGTATGTCTTAAAATGCTTCGATTCGGAGGTACAGGATGTAGAAATCACATTTTTATTTTGTTTTTTTCCAAATAATTTCTGAACTAACGTCGATATTCGGATGAAACTTGGTGTCTGGGTATTTTTTGGCTCGAGAAATTCGATTTCAATGTCAGTATGACTCCTACTTGTAGAGGGTGACAACTACATGTTTTTTAACTGTTTTAATGACTAATAACTTTTTGGCCGTACCTGTATTACACTACTAACAGGAAAAATGAATCAATTTTTTTTTCTAGAAAAATTCATAATTACCTTAAAAAGATAAAATGTTCAAGAACGATAAAAAAAATCTCGAGTACGATTAGCGATTTTTACCGAGATATATAAATAATAATATAGAATATATTACCGAAGTTTCCCAAATACAATTCGAACCACCCTGTATATAGGGTGATTCAGAGTGCATCCACATCATCCTCGAAAAAGCGGAACGGCCGGCGTATCGGCGTAACGACCTTATCGATTTCCAGCAATTCTATTGGCTGACATTTTTCGACAATTCGTCTGTCAAAAATGTCAGCCAATAGAATTGCTGCAAATCGATTCAAGGTCGTTACGCGGATACGCCGCGCGCCGTTTCGCTTTTTCTAGGATGGTATAAATGCACCCTCAAGAGTGTTCCATTTAAAATAACAAATGCTTTTATGTAATAAACTTAATTTTCCAAAAAAATTATCACAAGTTCTCCATAAAACTCTAACCTGCCATCGCCGTGAATCACCCTGTATAAACCTAAACCAAACCAAATCCCTAACCAGAGCGATTAGGGATACTTCTTGGGATAAAAGTATATGGATAAATATTCCTAAAATACTTTTTTTACAGGAAAAGGAACAAGACATACCTTGCTAGTAATAAATGAAGACTATGAAGGCTCAGGTAAAGGAACCATATCAGTTGAAAAAAATGAGGTTGTGTTCCTTCTCAATGCCAGCATAAAAGGCTGGTTCTATGTGAAAAACAAGGACGGATCAGAAGGGTTCATCCCATCTGTCATAGCAGGACACGGATTTTTATAGAAATAGTATTAACTTAATTTATTATTTAAAAAATTGTAACATAAATCTAGATTGTTAGAAATACAAACACAATTGTTGATCTTTATAAATAAAATTAGTGGATATATCGATTTTTGGACTAGAACCCGCTATACACATTATTTTATAAGGGTCCACCTGTTTTACCATTGAATATGCTGTGGGGCCACTGATGGGAATCTCACTTATTACATTACCATTTAAACTTGCTTGGTAAAATAATTTACATCGACCTCCGGCAAGTACTTTGTCATCATGTATTTGAGCCACGTGAATGCCTTTATCTTCGAATGGAAAAATGGTGGATTGAGCTAGAAAGCGATAGTGAAACAAAGATAATCTTGGACCACCTCCACATAACTAAAAAAAAAAACAACAAAAAACTAGAGACTCAAAAGATAAATTAAAGTTACTTACAATGTAGTCTTCATTACAGTGTACAGCACCTATCCATTTTCCTAAATCAGGTCTTTCAATTTCCTTATATTTAAATGGCTCAATTTTATTATGGGCTTTATTAGTTCTTAAGTCCCAAATATTAACTACTCCATCTTCTCCACTACTCAGAAGATCAGAACCACTAAAATTTTTGATAAAATAACTGTTTTTGATCTCTATATAGTAACAAATTCATACTTTTTTGTGAGACAATGGATATAATCACTATGACCACTTAAAACTTTCAGTACATTTCTGCTTTCTATATTCAAAATATAGATATTATTATCTCCACACCCTGCAATAAGATTTCCATTGTCTTCATCATAAATTAATGCATTTACTTCAGCTTTATTCAACTCTTCATGACCGTTAGGAATTTCTATGGACCAGGCCACGTGAATACTTCTACTGGATCCTAAATATAATTTATTAAGTAAATAACTTTACTGATGTTGAAGTGATGAATGAAAATACCTTTTATACTTTTCCATGTGTAAGCATAAATTTCTCCAAATCCACCAACTAAGAGATGGTTTGGTGTAGTAACTAGGCTATTTATTTGATAATCTGCTTTTACTGTAATTTTTATTTTAGGAGTTAATTCCTCTTTTGAAAAATTTACATCAGGAGTTAACACTTTGGATACACTAAAAATAATGAAGAAATTACATGTACGTGTACCCCTTTGTATAATTATTCAAAGGTGTACCCTGTAATTATTTCATTTATATTCAAACTGCAACACTTACTTGAAAATCGCTAAATTTCCATAAATGTCCCCTGTGACTAAATAATTTCCACAAGGACTGAAAGCCTGAGCCAAAATGGTATTATAAAAATCTTTATTTATATTATTTACCATTTTTAATAAATTTTACAACAAGCAAAGCTTTCAAAAAATTAACTAACCTCAATAAACAATGATTCTCTTCTTTTTTATTTGACGAAAAAATATCATCGAAAATGTAGGTCTGTGGTTGAATGAAAAATCGATACAAGCAAAAAGTCATCACAAAAATTAAATTGTTAATACTGGCCGTATAGTCCTGGCAGCTTAGGCCGTAAAACCAATCAAGAAAGAAAATGTAAATAATGAAAATCTCTTCTATGGTCAAAGGTCGCAGATAAATGTTATTTTGAAGTTCAATATGAGTTATCAGATAAATTTTATCTAAAAATGTTTTAAATTTTAAAGGTATCCATACCTGAAAAAGCCTAAAAATGCTTTTAAAAAATATTTTGGCCACATCAGCTTCTATCAGTACCATTTTACAATTTTCAACGGGTTTGTAAGTATTCTTATTTTAAGATCTTAGAGGATTTTGTATATTAATTTTAAAATATTGTAATGTTTTTTAGGGTAACTGCTAGGAAAATTGCTAAAAATAAAAGTACAGGAGATATTTCATCTTTTCCATTTATAAGTGGTTTGCTCTCAACATCCTTATGGTTAAAATATGGATTTTTAATTGAAGATAATTCACTAGTTTTAGTGAACACTATTGGGGCATCTATGTTTTTCTTTTGCGTTGCTGTCTTTTTCATTTACAGTATTAAAAAGGTATATTTAAACCAAAGGCGTCTAAATATTTAAACCCATAATATCTAATCAATTTTTTTGAGGGTCAGATAACAGTATTTTATACATATTTTTAACAAATTGAATATTTTTTAGGCCAGTATTGCCAGACAATTTTTATTATGCTTAATGATCTTGATAATAGTCCTAATGAGAATACACCGTATTGATAATCTTGAAGAGAGCAGAAAATCATTAGGTCTAATAAGTAGTGGAGTTACCATTTTATTTTTTGCATCGCCATTCACATCACTTTTTCACGTAATTAAAGTGAAAAGTACTGAAAGTCTACCCTTTTACTTAATTGCTTCTACATTTGTGGTGAGTCTACAATGGCTAGTTTATGGTGTTATTCTGGAAGACTCATTTATTCAGGTATATACCCATATTTAATACGTGTAAATTTATTATTGTTAATTTCTGTTTGTTACAGATTCCTAATTTTATTGGAAGTTTATTGTCTCTAATTCAATTGAGTTTATTTGTGATATATCCTAGTAAAACTCCTAGTAAGAGTTACCCCAGTAACATAATATAAGTTTTATTTTTTGATGTGGATTGAGTAACAAGTATATTTTGCATACAAACCAGTTAAATTTTTGAAATATTTAAAGACTGAATGGTATTTTTAAAGTAACCATTGTATGTGTCAATTCTGTGTTAACTAAAGTATATAATATCAGATTGTTGTATGGATATATGTGATTAATTTTAGTATTATTTTTTAAAAACCAAAAATAATATATTTATTTATATTTCTTTAAATAAAATTCATAAAATATAAAGTCTGTTGCCCGCTATTAATTCCTAAAATAACTATTGATATCTGAATTAGATGAGGACATATACAAAGTATTCCAAAAATGCACAGCAAAAGGAGGATTAACCCAAACCTGTAGACTTTGTGCATTTCAGTTGATTTCAAAATTCCGACCGCAGCGCTCGATATAGCAGAAATTAGAAGTGCCCGACTTTATTTCACTCAGTCCCGTTACCGTTCATGTCTATTTCATTGAAATAATATTGAAATCGTGGTTTATCATAATATTTAAGTATTTTAGTTTTTACTAGTGCAGTTATTGAAACTATAATCTTCTCAGGGACGAGATTTGTGTGATGTAACGCTATCTCGGATAGTAAAAAATAATTAAAAAATAACCCCAACTGGACGTTCTGTTGTGACAATTTCAAATGTTAATAAACTTGGCAAAAAAATGTTAACACGTAAAGGAGGGCGTAAATATGTGATTGTTGGATGCAGTAACATTCAATAACTCAACTTTTCCGGATATTCAATTCTCCTGAAACAACATTTTATAGCTTCATAGTTCCTCAAACCGATTTGATCAAGAGCAAAAATGGATTCAAGCAGTTCGATGAAACAAGTGAGTAAACAAAGTGCCCATTACATAATCAAAAAATTAAAGAAGCATATGAGATGTTAAAATATAATTTGCAATATTAATGGTATACTTTTTTTAGTCAACTAGTGTGTTTAATTTTTAATGAACATCTAAAATTATAAAAATGTACCTTTAAAAAATTACGTTATAGCCGAAAACGCCCGTAAATCGAATGATCTATGATTGAAAAAAAATAGCGTCCAGTTGGCTTGGAAATGACGATCGATGACATTCCCCATATAATTTTACATATAAAATGACAGCGATCTTCATTTCATAGCCATCGCTGACGCCGTTTTTTTTTAATCATACGTTACTTGCTATTCCTAACACTTTCGCTATTTAAACCCGTGTATGTGTCCGCTGTTTACGGTAGTTTCTGATGGTGGCAGCACCGACGGAGAATGCACCAATAAATAAAAAATAAACAGTTTTAAAGCTATTTTTCATTTTATATTACAAACTATCAACTATATTATACAAACTGTTGCATTAAATTTTACACATGTATTTATTTACAACAAAAAATAAAACAGGAAATAAGAAAATTTATCATAGAGAAGAGAGAAAATTCTATCAACATAATTAAATAAATTCTATTAACAACTATTTCGACTTATGAAAAAATAGGAACAAAATCAAGCAAATTAGAACATACGTAGGTATTCTCCTTTTTTTTCAAGTATGTAACTATTTAAAATATTGAGTTTCTTAACTATACAAACTGAAAATAACACACATGTATAAAATTCTATCTTTAACGTTGAAACCATGCATTGATTTATAATAATAAGACATCCATTTTTGTTTGTAAATAAAAGAAACCGATAAATTCATTTCTGGGATATTGCCGCATTATATCTACGCAATAAAAATAATTTTCTAAAAATTTAACAATCTTTTCAATCTCTACAGGAACTGTCTCTGATTTTTCTCCCATTTTCTAATAAAGATACAGCAATATTTGTAACAGGATCATTATTTTTATTTGTTTATCTTTTAATACATCAGTTGATAAAAATTCGATATTTGGCGAATGGAAAAAAATCGATACTCTTGATCATCCCTACTTGTAACCATATTTTCACGATATTTGGCTGCTTTAACGCCTAAAATTCTTTAAGGAAATATGACAGGGGAAATATTTTTTCTGTTAACCTAAATGATTGAATTTTTTGCTCTACGAATATTTTACTACAAGTTACTAGTATACAAGTCTACAAATTAACGTCTTAGTGGACTTTAAAAAAATAAAAGGATGTCAGTTACATCCCCCTGCACCACAGCGTCATCAATTATTAGTATTATCATGGTTTTTTCTATACAAACAAGTGGATATATGTAATCCCTAAAATTTTTATAGTTTCGCTCATGTTCAAAATAGTGATTAAAATTGAGAATTGTTAAAATATTTTAGATAAAAAAGTATCGATAGTTGGCATCGTCCCTTTTCTAAAAATCGATTATTAAAAATATCGATACTTATGACCATCCCTACATTGAACCGCCATCGTTAAAAGAACCATCGATAAAAACTAAGGAATACATTGTAGATGAAAGCTAAGTCTTGCCGCTATTTTGAAATACCATTTTTGTCACTTTTAATCAAATTTTATGTTGACATATTTAAATTTTCGCGAGTTTGATGTGCTTTTCAATGTTTATCTTATGTTGTTTGGTTTTATGCGAAGTATTTCTGGAAAGACATCATGTCAGACTTTGAATTGGGATTTGCTTAAATTTTGAGTAACTTTTCTGGGTTTTCTTTCTTGTAAACTTAATCTACTTCCTAGGTTGCCATATTATCAAGAAATTATGATTTTTAACTAAAAAAAAAAAAGATTGAAATTTTTTTTTCGCGAATAAAACCCTCATAATCGTGTTTCTGGGGTCGAAATATACTACCCCTAAAAATATTTACACTTATTTAAGACTCACCGTGTATATTTGAATTTAACAAAACAAGAATATTAGTTAGTGAATCTTATTTTATTACATGTAAAAAAGGTAATCTCAATAGTTTTGTCGATATACTCCTTCCTTAGTTTTGTGAATTCAACTGCCACGATAATAAAAAATACATTATGGATAATTATAAGAAAAAATATCGATACTTTTGACCATTCCTACCAAAAAATCGACACGTTAAGGCAAACTATTTGCTGATAATTATTTATTAGAAAATGACGACAAACCAGAACTGAATCTTCCTTTTCTTTCAAAACAGTTTGAAAATAGAAAATTAGTGTTTTTCGATTCGGCTGTCCACCGAAATATAGAGAAAATAATAGTAATATGTGTAATTTGTTGTTTTGACTCGATTTTCACAACTACCGCGAGATGGCGTAACTTGTATACGTCTCAATCGATACGCTGACAGACGCATTGGTGTGTGTAATAATTTAAAATGGGTTTTAACAATTATTAATTGGTTTTTGTAGTTGTCTAGAATTGAAAACCGCCCATCGGCACCGATTGGTCCGAGCTGAACTGGTACTGGTCGTGGTTCGCGTCGATCGCGGGCGCTATGTTAGTATCTTCCTCTTCCGTGCCGAAATAATGTTCGATAATGTCGAAAGCTTTTTGGTAGATCTCGATATTTTCGTGCGATTGGAGGAATTCGATTTTGTCCAGACCTGCAACAATGAAAACATATACAATTAGAGATAATAATAATAGTAATAATATAGTTTATTGTCTAAAGTAGTGATAAAAAAGTAAAAAGTAATCGTAATCGTTGTCTAGTGATTTGTAATTTTAATAATATCTCAATTTTTTCAAATAGAACGAAGGTGACTCATAAAATTATTTTAAAAAAGCATTTTTTAAGCGAAAATGTCAAAAGTTGAGATATGATATGTTACTCTATTCAGAATATACTTTTCTATCAAATAAAGGAAAAAACACCCAGGATACCAAGTAAATTTCCGGTGAAACAGGAAGTGACCGAAAATAGTTGAATACGTCAATCAATCCTGATTTATATCACATACTAACATACCAAATCTCGTTTTTGTCCGAAAAAATAAAAAATTATAGGGGTGAGCCGTTTTTGAAAAACGCCCGGTATCTGTCTGGGCCACAGATGAATTAAACTCAAATCTTACCATAGCACTCCTCGATCAGCACGGCGTAAGGATTGTTTCCACTATGAGCCCTGGATTCCTGTTCGCCAAGCCTGAGAATATTCTCCAAACCGTTCAAGGCCACCTGGACTATCTTAGCGTCCATTACTGTCAATAGATTGCACATGGGCCCTATACATCCCTGATTCACTAAATATCTGCAACAAATTAACAAGAAATAATTTAATTTTCTTTATTCCATTTTTTTAAGAAACGAACCTTATTTGGTCTGGTGTGCCGCCGCTGGTAGCGTTAGTAATAGCCCAGGCTGCCTCTTTTCTGGTTTTGAATTCGGCATTGCACAGGACTTCTATTAAAACGGGGAATATATTGTGATCGATGACAGCCTGCGTTTAAAAGAAAAAAAAACATTAAAAACTTCTGTAAACATTAAGACTGGATGCACACAGAAAGAGTTTTGCACTGGCCAGCCTTATTCTCCGCTTTTTGTGAAAGACACCAGTAGTACACTAGTAGACACCAAGAGTACCCAGTCTCGCTCATCACTAAATGTCTGTCCTTACCTGAATTTGTGACCTATTTCCGGCAGTTATGTTACTAATAGTCCAGCAGGCTTCCTTTCTCACACTTTCCTTGGTGGATGACAGTAAGTGCAGCAAGCAGGGCAGAGCCGCACAATTCAGGATAACCTGAGTCTGTACGTCGTCACCGGTGACGATATTTCCTACAGCTCTCAGTGCTGCTGAAACTACATTGGGCTGAGGTGCCATCAGATGTTCAACTAACCTTCTACACACGCCCGCATCTATAACTGCCTAAAATCAAAAATAATTTTAAAACAAATTAATTTATTTCCTTATATTCGGTCTTTTTGTTGACATTGCATATTTTTATTTAGTACAGAAATCAAAATTTATGCCAAAATAAATGAAATCATATGTTATATGGATAGGGAGAGAAACGGTATTTATTAATTATTTAATTATTTCATCAAAACGTAAAAAAAGACACTTGGATGCCCATTGCTGGTGAATATATCCCCTTTTAGTCCCTTGTAATCACGTTTATAATTTAATTTTAAATTGTATTTTTTTCTCATTTGTATTCATCAAATTTAGTTAAAAAGAAACTATTAAAAAAATATTTTCTTTAGTATATTTAGATAATTCAACAAAATGTATGCATTTTTTTCAGTGTGCATTTTTCAGTTTTGAGTTTTCAGTGAGCTTGCCAAAATATGCGACTTCAATATAAAGGAACAACCCTTAATACTGGTTTACACTGGTTATCCTCTACTAGAATAATGTAAATAGTTTGTGCTAGTGACAGCATATGTGAAATAGTACACTCTACACTCTACATGTCCACTAGACTAGTTTTAGCAGTGGAGAGTGTAGACTTCTTCTTGTGCTTGCCCATCTTTTTGTTATTGAAAGTAAATTATTCAAATTACTGGAAACGTGTTTACTGTTACTCTACCAAAATGGGCAAAATAAGACCATTTTAGAAAAAAAAGTATGCTACGTAACTCTACTACTATTAAAACCCATGTAAACAGGCCTTTACTGTCGCTTTTATATAGCTAAGGCAGTACACGACTATAGTATTATATATACAGATTGTTAACTGGATGGTTACTTATTGGGGACAGAATGGCAACACTGCTCACCCATCCAATTCCAAATGAGTACTGAGCTAAGCTGCTGACTCGGAGCGGGCCGAAGTTGCCATATTTCAACCATAAAGCTCTTACCGCGAGTAATAAACAAATTAACAACCTGTATATAGTAGGGTTCCCAACTTGAGCATCGGCGATTCCGGGACAATTATTTTTAAGTTTTTAAATAATTAAAACAAAACATTAAATATTAGACATTCAAATATATTATATGTAAATGTGATTTTTTTGGTCCCGGCCAAGGCAAAATTTTCGCCGGGACAAACTTTCTGATTCCTGGTTAATCCCGGTCAAACCGGGACGGTTGGGAACCCTAGTATATAGTGTTGTATAATATTTCATACCTGTATTTTTTCATTTGGTCCATCTGATAAGTAACTTAATGCCCAACAGGCATCGGAAAGCACGTCCGGATCAGTGTGAAACAGTAACCGGGATAAAACAGGAAGGCAAGGAGACACCTTGGAGAATTCCGGGGGAGGATTTTTGCCTCTGCACAGATTTGACAATGCCCAAACTGCGTTCCTCATCATCGTAATGCGAGAAGATTTAGCCAGTAACCTTAAAAAAATAAAAATGAATATCTTCTAAAATACAAACAAATAAAACTTACTGAAGTAAAGGAACTAGAATGCCCGAATCCAGAACATGGTCTCTACATTCCGCCGAGTCTCCTGCGATATTTCCAAGTGCCCAAACAGCTTGTTCCTTAAAAAATAAACATTAAACAATGTAGACAATACCGTCTGTTGCATCGCCGAGTTGAAAATAGGAAATCTCATGTAAATTTAAAAAAAATTATAAATATAAGTTAGCCATTTTATTTGACAGAAAAATGTATTTGAAAATGTTAAAAGAACTTGTTAAAATGGACCAAAATTCTTAATTTTCAATAACTTAATTGAGAAAATAATTGGGCCCTGATTGGAATCCCAAACATGCCTTCAAATTAAATTTTTTAAAGTCAAATTAATATTATTGTTGGCAAAAAAATATATGAATTATACAAATAATGAAGAAAACATTGTAGTTAAGTGGTATTATGGAGGAAATAGTCGACAGGCTGTAAAAGGTTTACTTTCTGTAAGCTTATACTGGTGCAAATCAACAATTAAAAATTTATATGAAGCAACAAAAACGGTTAATAAAAGACTGTAAATATAAAAAGAATGATATTGACTGAGATCATCGAAAAGTAATGAATGAAAATAAATATTCTGTCACAAGTGGAAGAAAAAATACTAAAAGTTTAAAATACCAACTGTTTAGTGTTTAATAAATTTTCTTTTTTGAAAAAGTGTATTTACTTATCTGTAAAATATATTTAATTTTTTAAAGATTTTATTATGTTTACAATGTACTCTTTGTAACTTTTCATGGAGAAGTTTGTCATATTGTTACATAATTTGTGATTGTTGTTTATTTGACCAAGACAAGATTATTTTAGGTTTTCGGTTAATTTAGTAGTTTTTAGTAGTTTAGTAGTATCTCTCATAACTCAAAAACGAATTTGTAGAAATTATTCAAAATGAACATTTTGCTTCATTTTAAGGAGTTCTTTAAAAAGTTTCAAATAAGTGTTTCTGACATTCATTTTTTAAATTTACATGGTATATCCTGTATCCTGTGTTCAGGTTGTAGAAATTCAGGTAAATGTTTAGAAACTAACCTGAACATCCTCATACTGACTGCCTAACAATGCAATAAAAATTGGAACCGCTCCTGCATCGATTACCATCCGAGTTTGCTGAGATGTCCCAGAAGCAATGTTAGTTAATGCCCATGCTGCTTCAAACTACAATATTTTAAAACATATCATAGTAAAATAATTACAAACTTTTTGGTTGAATATTTTATTACTTGTAGCGTGCAATTGGTAGTGTTTTGTAGAAACTCTACAAACCGAGGTACAATACCAGTTTGAATAACTTCATCGATAGGAGGATTAGGTTCACGACTCAATAATTTCCTAAACTTCTGTGTGGCAGCTAATTGTAATTCAGGATCTGAGCTATATAAATCCTGTACCATTTCTTGAGATATTGCCGGAACTACAGGAGAAGACATGTCTCCTTCAACCTACAATCAATATACAAGGTAAACCAAACAATATTTTCACTTCAATCTTTTTAATTCCCTTTTAGGAAACCCTTATCAGGAAATGTAATATGGGACTCTTTGGGACACGTACCAAAAAAATATACTTTTCTCTTACCTGCAACGGGTCATCTTCAGGTAGTACTTGATTAACATTAACATTTCGCCGTTTACTCAACTGCTGATCTCTTTTCTGCTTTCTGAGCTGTATACCCTCCTCTTCCCTACGTCTTCTTAGTTCAACACTATCCAAAGCAGTGTTCTTGTAGCGATGCTTATGTCCTGAGCCAGACATCTGTAAAATATATAACATCACAGCTTTAATTAGTCCATACAGAACAATTTAAAACACATATTGCCTTATCTGAAACGAATACTATCCAGTTTTGAGAAATGCAAATGTTAAAATTTGCAGGAAATGTACTAAATGAGAAGGTCAAATGATTCATTCGCAGTATCCTTAAATGCCTTAAAAAATTGTTATTTTTCAAATAAATTGTGAGATTTCATCTTTTACGTATCTTTTATGATAATTTTACAACGAAATAGATAGGAACTGCTGACGATCACTCACAAAAATGTGGACATACCATAGTTCAAGAACAAAGTTTGAATATGTGTAAAAAGTTTGTAGGCAAGTATGGCTCAAAATAATTAGAATTTATACCTTATTTTAATTATTGTGACTAATTACAAAGAATTATTACCTCGAAAAGAATTTTTTCCTGGAAAAAAATTCGTTTTAGAACCTACAATGTCAATTGTCATAAATTAAGTGACATTTGTCATTTGTCAATTTTTACAGGATACCAATTTAAAAGTAGCGAAAATCCCTAGAATATTTTTAGAATTTAGGATTTCGATCAATCAAATTGTCGCGGATTTATATTACAGGAGCCTGCAGGTGCAAAATTTGACTTTCAATTTTGACACGAGATGCTGGACGTTAAACAAAAAAGGGAAAACAAGAACAACAAATGGCACGGTGATTTAAATACAAAAGGCGCACTCCAGAAAATCAATAGCGGCAATAAACATTTTATCAATGATAGCAGAGGAAATAAGTGTTTAATATATTTTTAATAGTGTTATATAACCTTTTTTTACACCAGAAATAAAAATGACCTCAGAAGCTAGCGAATCTAATTCTACAGATGTGAGTACAAACATTAAAAATATCCATTTAGTTAAAAAAAAATCTTGTTAGTGTAATTTTTGCGATTAATACAAACATTAAAATTTCAATTCTTTCAGAAATTATCGAGTAACGAATCCGTACAAGTTATTGTGAGATGCAGACCTTTAAGTCTTCAGGAATTGCAGCAGCAGTGTACAAGTGTCGTAAAAATATACTCAAACAGGGGTGTTATCGAGGTAGAAAATCCAAAAGCCAGAAGCGAAAATGAAAGGAGTAAAATGTTTACGTACGATGCCGTGTATGACGAAAAGTAAGTCAATAAATTCATAGAATTTATATTTTTCATACAGCTCTACATCATTTTAATGGGAAACCCAAATTTTATTTTTTTGGCAGCTTAATTTGAATATGTAAATCATTTCTTTTCTTTAATTTAAAATACATATGTCCCCCAATATATCAGTAATTTATTTATCAATATATATAACAATAACAGATGAGATTACTACAAATACAATAGATTTTATGATAATTCCTTTTATTTATCTCATATCTGTCTTGATAAGGCTAAACTATAAGCTACTTAAAAAAATATTTATTTTATTTAATCATCTCTTAATCAAGCGGAATCCTTGAAAATAAACATTAAGGTGACATGTTTAAATAAACAATACAAGGCGCGCTGTGTTTCCTCTGGTTTCCTGTTAATTTTGGTTAGCAGTATTTATTTGGTATAAATTGACGGAATTAAGCCTATTTAATTCTAAAAGATTATGCATTAATTAGGACTATATACAGGGTGTAGACGAATAATAAATGGGTAAGCAAGGATGGGTTTTGTCTTATTTTTCGATTCGACGTTTTCTTACATTTTTTAGGATCTAAGATATTATTGAATGTGTTTTATTAAAGTTATTTCTAGAATAGATGCAGTTTTTCTTAAATTTTAAAATCAACTTGTCCAGAATTGTTTTAATTTGGCATGTGTATTCAGCATATACGCAGAGATTTTTAAAAAAACCTATTTACGGTTTAGCTGGGGCAAAATTTGCATGGATTTCCTTTGTTTCAAACGACGGACGATGCACCACCCGCTATACAGGGTGAGTTTCCTACGATGTTCTCTATGGGTATCTCGGAAACTACTAGAGATAGAGAGTCGGTTAAATGAGAAAAGAAGTGCATTTGTGGGGTCATAAACATGCGCTTTTCAGATTTTTGAAAAAGTTCATGATTTACTAGATACTTCGAAAAAAACAAATTTCGCTTATTTCAAAAATTGTCCCTAATTCTATTATAATCTATTTTAGACAAAAAGTTTTCAGATAAAAGTTGTAGATAATCACATTCTTAATGAGATTGTGTCCTGCGTTTTTTTCTAAAGCCTGGCGTTTTTGACATATGACACAAACATATTTTTTTTAAATGGAAACCATATTTAGCCATGACTTCATAAAAAGCGCCATTTTTTAAGCTTTTCAGCGATATAAGCTATAATATGTTTCTTTCGAAAAATTACTGAGTTATAGCCAATTCTTATAATTTTTAAACAATTTCACTTAGTTAGCCATGGGAACAAGTTCAATCGTCGTTGCTTCAGTAATGTGAAACTGTCACATCCAAACTTTGTAAATTAAAATAAACAATTCTTGTAAATATGAATTTTTCAGATAAAGAAAAGCGTGTAGGATTATTGGTTCAACTTTTCTTGGCCATACATTTTCGACAATATGTTGACCGGTGAACGTTACTTTCGTTTTTTAAAATTTAGATACTCGCGCATCAATAGAATGGTTCCAACATGATTTTCATTATGACACTCCCCCTTATAATGAAAGAAATGTTAAAAATTATATATATCATAATTATGCAAACTCAGGGATAGGAGGAGGTGGACCAATTGCATGGACCTCCTCGATCACGACCTGACCTATCCATTTTAGATTTTTTTAACAAGGTTTACAAAAGAACTTATGAATTAAGAGAGGCACTTGAAGAGGCGGTAAGGGAGAAGTTTATTAAAGTCGACCGGCCGTTCTGTGGGAAAAGCTTGTAATTCAGTTTTAAAAAGATGCATTTTATGTACTCAAAACTCAAAACAATGGCGGTTTTTTTAACATTTGCTAAAATAACTTAAAGTGTATGTAGTGATATTAGTTTTTTAAGTTTTAGTTTGTGTAATGTAAATTGTAATGAGCCGTTTAATAAAATATTCTGTCTTTTTATAAGTTATACATCATAACAGGATAAGAACACCATGCCAACTAAGTGAAATTTGTCAAGAAAGATAAGAATTGGTTATAACTCGAAAAAAACATATGTAATTTTTCGAAAAAAAACATATTATAGCTTATATCGATAAAAAGCTTAAAAAAATGCCCCTTTTTATGAAGTCATGGCCAACTATGGTTTCCATTTAAAAAAAAATGTTTGTATCATATGTCAAAAATGACAGGCTTTAGAAAAAATCGGAGAACACAAACTTATTAGGGATGTAATTATATCTACAACTACAACTTTTACCTGAAAACTTTTTGTCTAAAATAGATTATAAGGGAATTAGGGACAAATTTAAAAAAAACCCAAAATTTGTTTTTTTCGAAATATCTAGTAAGCCATGAACTTTTTCAAAAATCTATAAGTCGCATATTTATGACTCCACAAAACTGCAATTCTTTCCTCATTTAACCGATGACTCTCTATCTCCAATAGTTTCCGAGATACTCATAGAGAACATCGTAGAAAACTCACCCTGTATATTACGTTATCTAAATTATAAAAAAATCGATATTTTTTAAAATAAAACTGTATTTTCTGTCGTTTTTTTGATGTCTTCTGTCCAAATCTTCCCTTATACAATGTGTGTGGAATGGCTATAATATTCTAACTAGACATGGCGACAAAAACATTCTTTTGATTTAACCAGAAGTAATTAATACTTTTGTCACTTATATTGAGACAAAAAAAGAATATAAAAAACATGTCTATTATAGATCCACACAGCAGGCCTTATACGACGAGACTATTCGACCACTGGTCGCTTCTGTGCTGGAGGGGTACAATTGTTGTGTGTTCGCCTATGGTCAGACGGGCACTGGCAAAACATACACGATGGAAGGTAAATTAATAGAAAAAGCATTAACTAGAAAACCTATTTATTAGTCATGATTACAAAAATACCTCGCAATTTAATGCATCGCTTCACAAGAAGGTTTTTTCAATTTTGTTCTATTGCATATTCGGACAAAATTCGTGTTTAAACATTTTTAAAAAGAGAAATTTATATAAATTCTAATTTTGATTGTTATTTAATCAATTCAGGAACGGAATTTGTCCATTTTTAAACTAATTTAAAGATTTTTATATAGAGATAATACCATATGAGCGAAAAAAAAACGGCGTCAAAGACTGCTAGAGAATAACAATCGATGATGATCTGTGTCCGGAAATGTATAGTATCACAGAATATACAGGGTCCGGTCATAGTGCGTCGGGCAGCTGTAGCTCCTAGAATAACAAAACTTGGTGATTTTGTTTAAATGCAGACTTAAAGTATGTACTAGAATGTATTTTGGCAAAATATTTTAACTTCTATTGGTGGCTCAAAAAAGTGTGAGGGGATCGGGATGATTTTTTTTAAATGGAACACCCTGTATATTATTGCATTTTTGGCTTCATTTCAGATCACTTTACATAATCGTAAGATGAGTAAATATATTTCGATAGTTTCAGAGATATTAATAAATAAATAAAAAATATATTTTTTTCAGCCTGTCTTAAAAAACTTATACAAAACTGTACTATATCAGGCATTTATCTTTGATGGTCTGTACTTACTTTGCTATAAATATGGTAATCGTAAACCATACAGGATGTTCAAAATTCTACGCCAAACTTTCTAAAATATAAAATAATTTTTCTTTGTTTTTTAATGGAATACCCTTATATTATTTTTTCAATAGATGGGAGAATTAAAAAAATAACATTTTTTAAAAAATGTCTATACCCAATCAATACCTATGTGGCTATATTAACATTTTTTGTGTTGTTTAGGTTTGCACTTAAACAAAATTCTCAAATTTTTATTCTAGGAGCTACAGATGGCTAACACACTATTGTCGAACCCTGTATAGCGTAGCTATATATTCTGTGGTAGTATCTATTAAAGATACAGGATGTGAAAACTTAAAAAAGTAGTTTTTTTAAGTAGCACTGAATATCAATGACATAAATTGTAGTTTGTTATCAAGCATTTTATTACCTGAATTATTTTTTTAAATTTTGTGTAGCATCTTTAGTTTCATAAAGAAGTAGGACAGTGATGTGAAAACCACATCTTTGTATTTTTACTCATAAACGAGAAACCCCATAAAACACAGGAAAATGGGACACCCTGTACTCTCTAACTTACTGTAACACACAAAAATCGGCACCGAAAACCAGATTTTGCTGACTCTGTATATTTCAACTGAACCTATTATATTGAACTTTATTCTCTAAAATATTATTACAGGGTGTGATGGAGAGGATATTGGTATAATTCCAAGAGCATTTGATCAGATATGGTCTCACATAGCCAGAAAAACAGGCGTTGAATTTTTGGTGAGCGTCAGATATATGGAAATTTACATGGAGGAAATAAGGTATTGAACGCAAAAAATATTGTTTAAGTGTGTTGATGAATATGCAACCAATCATACAAGTCCTAAGAACTCTATTTAATTTTCGACTTCATGTTGACTATAGGCTTGGTGCATTTCAGTTGATTTCAACAAATACCGACTGCAGCACTTCAACGGCAAAAATCAGAAATTAATAGTACCTATTTCACGCCGTCGCCGCCGTCATGTTGATCGCATTAAAATATTATTGAAATCGTGGTTTTGCCATAATATTTAAGTATTTTAGTTTTTTGCTAGTGCAGTTATTGAGATTATAAACATTCAGGTACGAGGTTTGTGTGATGTAACGCTGTTTCAGGTAGTAAAAAATAAGTGAAAAATAATTCGAACTAGGGGTCGTGTTGTGTTGTGACAATTTCAGATGTTAATAAAACTGCCGAAAACATGTTAACGCGTAAAGAAGAGCGTAATTAAGGCGTTGTTGGGTGCAATAACATTCAATAACTCATCTTTCCCGGATATTCAATTCTACTGAAACAACATTTTACAGCTTCATAGTTTCTCAAACCGATTTGACCAATAGTACAAATGGATTCAGGCAGTTTCGACGAAACAAGTGAGTAAACAAAGTGCTCGTTACATAATCAAAAAGTTAAATAGACATATACTATGAGAGGATAAAATATAATTTGCAATATTAATGGTATACTTTTTTTAATCAACTATAGTGATTAAATGTTTTATGAACATCTTCTAAAATTATAATTATGTACCACCTTTAAAAAATTTCGTTATAACCGAAATACCCCCAATTACCTATGCCCCACTAGCAAAACCGGTGATTAAAACTATGCTCGCTACCGTAGTTGAACTCATCTAAAAAGTTTTTTTTAACTGGAATAATAAATTATAATAAAGTTAGACCATCTAAAGATATCAAAATATTTACTTCTTATTTTTATTTTTAAAATTTTCACATATATACTTCCTAACACTTTTAGAATAATTATATAATACATTTTTCATATACTCGCTATTTAAACCCATGTATTTGTATATACTAGTTGTTAACGATATTCTCCGATGGTGGCAGCACTGGCGGAGAATGCACTAAGCCTATACTTAAGGTTGAAAGCACAGTTGAAAGTAAACGTTCAAATCGATAGGACTCTGTGTAATGTTGGTTGCATAAATTGTTACATTATTAACTGGGTCTTTTATTTTATTTTTCAGAGATTTGTTAAAAATAAAGAGCACCAAAGTACACGAATTAAGAGAGATGCCCGGCGAAGGAGTGGTGGTTACTAATTTGCACTCTCACAACTGTCAAAGCGCGAAAGACATGTTGAAAGCGATGAAAACGGGGAACTTTAATCGAACTACTGGAGCGACGAATATGAACGAGCACAGTTCGAGATCGCACGCTATTTTTCAGGTTTAAAATCCAAAAAAATTGATTGAATAACGAAATTTTCTAAAATTTGTCATCCTAGATAATAATTGAGATGGTGGAAGGTCACTCAAAGTCTATGAAAGTTGGCAAATTGAACTTGGTGGACTTGGCAGGCAGCGAGAGGCAATCCAAGACTGGGGCGACAGGAGATAGACTTAAAGAAGCTACCAAAATTAACAAGGCCTTGTCCTCGTTAGGTAATAATGATAAAAACAAACATTCCTTATTTGCTTTCGGCTCATTTTATTGATAGAAAATCGTAAAGCGTAACAGGTGTAAATCCGCGGTTATTTGTATTGGAGATAATTGGTAGTTATGTAATGTCGTGATTGCGCTTATTTAAAAATAGCATTTCTTATATAAATATAAGCTGACGTGTCATACAATAATAATAGTTAATATTTGCGAATATTAGCTTAAGTTATTTTTACACTTAAACAATAAAATTTTAAAAAAATATTTACCAGGCAAATATTTTTAACATTTTTTTAAACGAACATGTCCAAGCCTATTCAAAACATTATGTACCTATTTTTAGGTAATGTCCCCTCGATTTGAGGACATAAAAGTACCTAATTTTAGTTAATGTTAACAATTGCCTAAATCTTGTAATTCTATTACCTAATTAAAAAAAAGTAAGTAACATTACCAAATTTAGGAAGTATTTGAGACATTACTACTATTTTAGGCAATCCTAATAAATAAGTTGGTAATATTACCTAATTAATGACATTGTCTAAATTAGGTAATGTTTGAGGTATTACCTATTTTTAGGCAGACGTTTATGTATTATTTTATTTTAGGTGATGTTGGCTAATGAAGGCTAATGTTAGCATCATTAAGCAATTATTACAGTTAAATAGTCAAGTTATAAAATTTAGGGTATATGGATTTTTCTACTTATTAATTTTTCAGCCTAATACCATAATAATTATTTTAACTATAACAGATATAGATAGAAAATAACATATAACTAACTTAATGATTTCTGAGTTTTGGATATTCCATCTTGAAAAGGATTTGATAATTTAATAAATTTTTCAAACAGTTAAAACACTTCTCATGCTTTTTATATGGGGTATGGGTAAATATCTGAATTTTTCAGTATCATTAGATACTGGTTTCCAATACACGCTCAAGATTACTACATCTTGAGTAATGTTTCGATTGGTTAAATGTTACCTAATTTTGGGTAATATCTAATAAAACAACACTTTATTGGTATTAGCTTAATAAACCTTATCTAATATTAGGTTTTGTTTTGGCTATGCGATTCAATAGAATACTACCCGGTGTAGGTAATATTCTAATGAAATAGTATATAAATTAAATTTTGGCCTAATTTTAGGCAATATTATAATGATTACATAATTATATGTAATGTTTAGTGACATTACTTAAGTTAGGTAATGTTTTTGCTGGGTGATTCAATAACAAACTACCTGATGTAGGTAATATTCTAACTAGAAACATTACATAATTTTAGGTAATGTTTTATTGTCATTACTTAATTTTAGGTAATGTTATCTACGCCCTGGCCGAAAACTCCGCCCACATTCCCTATCGCGACTCCAAACTCACCAGGTTGTTGCAAGACTCCTTGGGCGGTAACAGCAAAACGATCATGATAGCTAATGTGGGCCCGGCCAGTATGAACTACGACGAGACTATCGTTACTCTGAGGTACGCCTACCGCGCCAAGAGTATCAAGAACAAACCGATCAAGAACGAGGATATTAAAGACGGAAAATTGCTTCTGATGCAACAAGAAATCGAAAGATTGAGGGCTCTGATCAGTGAAAAGAGTAACGGGGTCGATATGAACGGGTAGGTTTTTTTCGTAGTAGGAATGTGCATTTATATCGATGTATTTAAATATCGATATACACTGGCCGACACCCATCTCTATTAGGGATGTGCCAAAATGTCGATATAAAAGATATCGATAAATTTAAAAGTTTATCTCTTTGAATAAGAAGACTAAGGAAGGAGCATATCAAAAAGCTTAGGTCCACCGCGATGGGCCTCAAATATGGTCGACTTAAATTCCGGTTTATCAATGCCGTTCTAATTTTATTTAAAAAATGTAAAACTATGATGTAGGGTAGACGTGGGGTAGACTCAATAATATGTTGTTTTATTTGACGTTGTGAATAAATGTTGGTAGTTATTAAAATTGTTACAAAAATATATAATTCTTATAAAAATAGATAAGTTATAATAATTATTTATTAACACAAACATCCGATACGCTACTGAAGCAGGTAAATCTGGTAAATCAAATTGACGTATCTAAATTCTTTGACATCTAATCTTTGACAAGTAGTAAATAAAAGCAAAAATGCAAGAAAAAATATATAATTAGTTAATTTAAGTGAATTTCATAAATGATTGGTTTACTACTCGTATGTATATTATATAGTCATTCACTCAATTTTTGCCGAGATCTACCGCACGCTACACAACCAACTATTTTAGAGTCTTTTTCGATAAATCACGATAGTGTTACTGTTAATTTAAGTTCTGCCACAATTTCCATCTAGATTTACTACCTTTATACAACTATCAGTAGTAGAATAAATAATAAATAACATAAAATAAGCTCCGTAAAGACTGACAAATCCATAAAATTTCAAATCACATTCAAATGTGTCAAATGAATCGTCAAACAGAACTGTCAAGGATCCCCACCCTAGAGTGCTTTTTCCGCCCACCATGCATGAATACAATATTACATAGCAATATGCTCCTTCCTTAGTCTTCTTATTCACAGGTTTATCTATATTTCAACCCATACCTATTAGGTAAGTGTCAAAATATCGATGTAACAGATACCTGATGTTACAGATACAAAAATAGGCATCTTAAAATTTTCATATATTTTAAAGTTCGATTTATTTTGTTCTGGGTGGGCCAATTTTGATAATTGTTTAAGCAGTTTGTAGGGAAATTATTTGACTTTTTAGTAAAAAAAGTTAATGTCCACATCTGTATATTATACGAGGAAAAACAAAATGTTAATATTTTAGCGAACGTTTGAAACTCCTAATGGAATAGTTTAACAAAGTAAGGACTTTAAAAACCACTTTATCATTACGGTGCATCTTTTTTCGATAGTTTGTTTTTTGATTCATCTCAATGGCTCTATTTTTATTGGAGATATTCGCTTTTGAAGAAGACTGTAAGGATTTACAGCAATTTTGGGCATTGAAAGCATGTCTTTGCTGTCCTCATCAACACACCTATAAAATAAGAGTTTATTGTTTTTCTAATGATACTGTCACGAAGAAGTCATATTATTATTATTTGTTGGCAGTTACTCTAGGAGAGATAGATTAACTCCAGAAGTTGATCTTTACCATGTTCAAATAAAGCAAAAATATCCAATAAAACTTCTGGACTTAAAACTGTCTGCTAGAGTATCTATCAACAAAGAAGAATAATATGACCTTTCAATGACTTTACAAAAACAATACAACAATATACACAATTTCATAGGTGTGTTGATAAAGATCCAAACAAAGGCACACTTCTAACGCTAAAGTCTTCTTCAAACGCGAATATCATCAACAAAAAAAGCTATTGACAATTCTAATAAGGATGAGCTGAAATATCGACGTGTCTTTAAAACTATCGACAATTTTTTATATCGATATTTTGAGACATGCCTAATAGAGATGCCTTAATTACTCGATTCTTCGTTGTTTTTTATTCTTACTGAGCAGCTTGAATGGACAAAACGCGGAAGAATCTGATAGTGACGAGAGCGATAATGTCGAAAAAGAAAAGCAGTTAGAGCTGGGCAAAATGGAAGTCGATGAGCTGGCTAAAAAACTTAAAACCCTGGAAAAGCAAATGGTTCATGGAGGAAAAGATATCGTGGACAGCGTGAACGAGAACGAACTGAAATTGGAACAACAAAAAGCCGAAATTGCTGACAGAAAAGTGAGCTTAATATATCATTAATACCTAGGAAAATGAATAAAAGTTGACATGCATTACCAACATAAAACTTTTTTTATCGGCCAATCTGTTTACTTGATGCGACAGCTGCTTGCTGTCTTTTTTAACCAGGATATAAAGATTATAAGGAAAAGGATTTTCAGTCAAATATCTTTTGACTTGAAAACCAGTCAAAAGATATTTGACTGGTTTTACGTGGTTACCTGTTCAGTTTTGGTTTAAAAATAGATGCAGTTTTTCTTAAATTACTTAAAATCGGCTTGTCGAAAATTGGTCAAATTTGGCATGTGTTACAGTATAAGCAGACCTTTAAGAGTCTATTACGCTCTACTGTTCGGATCGCTCTCAGGGGTCGGGTATAGCGGGTGTGTGGCCGAAGGAAATATATATTATCTATATTTCAGAAATCTGCCCAAGGCTTAGCCCGATCCTGTCGTGGTAAGCCACACCCAAACTTCCAACACACTTGCTTCGATAAATATAAAATAGCGGGCAGTTTGTTACAAAACCATATAAATAATTATATATCACTGTAATCACAAAACTTCAATCTATTTTCGTATTGTAACGGAATTTTAAATTATGCCTTTATTTTCGAGAACATTTAGTCAAAATATAAGGAATATTTTGTTGCTTTTGGACCATCAAAATCTTAAAAATAAAGAAGCTTTCTAAAAATGTGCTATAATACGGATATAGTATAATCCTTTATCTTTAATTTCCTTCTTCATTTGTGTAAAAATACCTAGCCAGTTTTACATAAAATGTTAAATGCCGAACGCTTATTTTGCTAGTTTTTCGGACTAGTGAAATGGACTCTTAAAAAACCTATATGTGTGACTCAGCTGTAAAATTAATAGGGAAGCCAATATTGGACAGTTCAAAATTACATCCGATTTCCTGTTTCCAACGACGATACACCACCCGGTATAACTGGTTTTTTATAATATTGATAAATATTTATGATACCTACAAAAAACGAATTTCTTAAAAATTTCACTCATCGCTAGTCGACATGCGTTTATAAAAGCATAAGAATCATTTTTAAAATGAGTGAAGCATCTAACTCAATAAATTCACATATGGATATTATAAAATCTGATATTCGTCATTTAAGAGAAGGATTGGATTTATTAAAACAACAATCTCGAATATCTAACCTTATCCTAGACCTAAAAATGCAAGAATTAAAATTGGAAAATTTAATTTTACGCCAAAAAATATGGCATTTTGTAATTATTACTTTTGAGCATCTAAATGCTTATAATTTAGTATTTTTTATTTGTAGAAAAAGAAATTGAGATGCAACAAAGGATCGAGCTTGAGGAAGAGACTTGCAGCGAACTGAAACAAGTTTTCGCTAGTTTACAGCAACAAGTTGACTTTAAGAGAGATAAGTTGAAGAGAATTAATAATAAATTGCAATCAATCAGACAGGAAATTAAAGATAATCACGAGGTGTATCTTAAGGATAGACAGGAAATTGAGAATGCCAACGACGAAGCCACAGTGTAAGTAAGAAAGGTTTACACAATTTTGCTAACAAGAGAGAAAAAAGTCAGTGGCGCACATTTTTTTTTAGAAAAGAATTCTCGTGATAACCCATATGCACGTCCTTAGTGAGTCTGTCTACACATGTTTAGCATTAAAATGTCGCACTTATAGTAAATTTTACCCTCAAAATTTCATTCGAATCGCTAAAAGCATTTGGAAGAAAACTATAATAAATTGAAAAAAAAAACAAGACTTTAACCCCCTGTAGCTACACTCACTACAAAGCATAATCGGACCTATTGTAATCGCAAAACATTTTCCGATGCACGTCATCAATCATATCGACATTGACACTAAAGTCTATAAACCTGACTAAATAAAATTTTGGCAAAAATGTTTAAATTTGTTGTATAATTTGAGATACCGAGCCGCTCTTTCTTTTACTTTATAGAGCAAATGATTGTAACAGATATTTAATTTAGATTAAAGCTGCAACTGCCCTTAAACCAAATTTTATTATCGCTATGTTGGTCACATTGCGCCGTGTTCAGCACTAAATTTTCGAGTTTTTGTATTGCATTTCTTGAAATTGTGTGTTGAAAATATGCTGAAGCATTTAAACAGTCGAAGCAAGGGGCTTGTAGCTTCCCTGTTTTTTTAAAACTATTTTAACGAGAATGTGACAATAAAGGTTCTTTATTACCCTTGACTGCAGCCAGAAAAGTAAGTTTGATTGATAAGCACATTATACCACTTTCAAAGTTAGTTTTTATTAAATCCTGTGATTTTTAGTTTGTGCATTAATAGCACCCCCATACTTGTTATTACCACTTATGGCGTTGTAAGATGAAGATCAATAAATAAATAACCCATAATAACGTTTATAATAATCTTCCTAATGGACTAGTTTTTGCCAATATGTAATAAGTAAAATAAGCTATAAAACAAATAAATCAATCACTAAAATATTAGTTATTAAATTAAAAATAAATCGTAAAACTCCTCATAAATCCATCACAATCTGACAGCGCTGTCGCCATCGCTTGTCACTAAAAGTTGATCGCGTGCATCGGAAATTGTTTTGCGCTTACCATATGACCCCGCGAGAGATGAATAATAAATAACTATTTTTTTTTGTTAGAATTACATAAATCTAAGTTAAAGTTAAAACCGACAAGAACAATTAATTATTAATATGATAATTTTAAAAATAAAAATGCTTTTAATATTTTTTTGCAAAAAATAATTATAGGCCTGTTATTGGGGTATAAAAAATAATTTTGTTTGTTAGAAATCTGAGACAGGCTTTTCTGATCATCGACAATTTCGTACCCTCTGAAGAAAGGAGCAGGATTATTAGTTTGGCTCAGTTTGATGAAAATTTGGACAATTGGATCATTAAGAAAGAAATCGAGAAGATATTACCTTCAGAGAGACCGAGGGCACACAATTACAGACGTCCTATATCAGACTATGCCATACAACAGGGCCAACTCAATCCAAAATATAGAGTAAGTACTAACATACGATTGAAAAAAAGAACGGCGTCGGTGATAATTTTGGCGAGGCCAAGTTCGATTTTTTTAAATGTTGGGTAAAAATCATTTTTAAATGGTGTAGTTTAAAATTTGAGAAAAAATTATTTTTTTGGAAATAGATTTTTGTGTCTGGAAACGTTCTATCATTTTTTAACCTTTCTGTTAATTAGTGTAAAAATTCAAAACCACAGAACCCCTAAAAGAATATCTAACATAACCTCACTTCAGTAGAAAATTATATAAAATAATTATATTGACAACGTCGCAAATAGCATGCGAAGGCCGTCGATCTGAACTGTCAATCAAAAAGTCAATGGTTGCTAGCTCGGAATATTGTAAATACATATATTTTCTTAATTTTTACGCTTACAAAGAGGTTTTCTTGACTTTTTGTGCTTAAACTAGGTCAATCCACATCTATATAATGTAGTAAAGTGCTAATATTAATGCTAAGGGTGTTATTTAGCATAACACCCTTAAAGGAAAGGAGGCAGTTCAGTGATGTGTCGTTTGTATTTAGTATTATTCACCAATGTGTTCCTGTGCCGGACCTACTTGGAATGATTTATTATGTAGTACCTGATTGTAGACTAAGGAAAAGGCATGTAATTTTTAAGATCTCGTTGGTTAGTTCACCATTAAACAGGTGCCTAGAGGCGGTGAATCAGTTTGCCCTAGATCACATAGTTGTTAATATTATTGAGAGTTCTTCTTTTTTATTGTATATTTATTTTTGTATTTTTTAATTTGTATTTACTGTACTGTTGTCATGGGAATATTTTTCTGTTATAAGTGCAGTCTAAATAAATGATTTTGATTTGTTTTTTTGATTTTGAATATTCGATGTTTCTACCTAATCTGTATGGAAAATTTAACGTTTTTAGTGTCCGTAATATCGACTGTAACCGTGTTAATATTGAAGTTTTATATCATTTTTTAGTAAATGACGTCTAGAGATTGACCTCGCCAAAATTATTATCGATTGTCATTCCCCAGCCATCTTTGACGCGGTTTTTTTTTCGATCATACGGTATTCTGCTATATTCTGTGATATTTGTTTTATTGTATTATTTACTTATCTACGAGATATTTATATTACGAGATATTGTATTATTTTACTTATCTACGAGATTTTTTAAAGATTTTATTACGGTTTCTGGGGTACTTTTTGTAAGTTTTCATAGAGAATATAATTTAGGATATTTTTGACAGATTTGTAGAAGAAAATCATAATAGATTTGTCATATTGTGACATAATTTATGATTGTTATGTTTGTTTGACCGGGACTGGATCATTTTAAGATTAAGAAGAATATTAAAACTATTCAAAATGAACATTTTGCCTAATTTAAATGCCTTTAAAAAGTTTCAAATAAATTCATTTTTCTCTAGTGTTTCCTATGTTCTGGTCGGCAATGCAACACACGGTATACAGAGTGTTCTATAAACACAGGCTAATATTTAAGGTAGTGATTCTTGGACCTTTTCTAAGAAAAATACTTCATATGAATGTATGTCCTAAACATTAACTTCTGATATACCTCTGATGTTATTATAGATCAAAATACCTTTTTTGATGTACAAACAATTTTTTTTAATTTCAACCAGTGGCATCTGTACTGGTTTTACATTGAATAGTTGAAAAAAGAAATGGCACGCCACTGACTTCTCTTAAAATAAGCATTATTTTCAAAATCTTTATTCATTCCTGAACAATTTTCATCTCTTGATTTTTTCGGCTGGCGCATCTTGCTCAAAAAAAAGTAATCTTCAGGATCAAATTGCTAAAAATTTCGACGTGGTGACTGTTGTGTGGAAAGCTTTTCTGCGTCAGCTCGAAGGAAATTAAAGGATACAACATTTTTTTTGTACATCAATATAATAACAATAACTAACTAATAATAGAGTTACTGTGAAAAAACTTTTTTTTATAAAATTTTACCAACCAGTATCTCAAAAGTTAAGATGTTAGGACATACATAAGTTTTTTCTTAGAATAGGGCCAAGAATCAGTCTCTTAAATATTCGCATGTCATTAAGGTACACCCTGTATATTGTAGACCGTGCATATTTCATATACCCCGTATCTACAGGGTGAGAACGTCTTGGACCTAAAACTGGACATGCCCTTGAGAACGACGCAGGACTACGTCCCTCCCGCCATCTGCCCTCAGATTAAAGCTCTAGTCAATGACGTCATAAAGAAAGAGATGGACAACTGCCACGTCACTATCAAGATGGCGCCCCATTCGATGTCTCGAAGCGCGGGAGGCGTGTCCAAGTTGGAACAGGAGGGGAAGTACAAACAAGCTCTCAGAAGTTTGGTGGATGTTAATAGTCTCAAGTAAGTTTACAGAAAGAGACATTATTCTTTCATTTTCATTACGTACTTTTGCCATGATATTGGGAATGTCGAAAAATATCGATAAGAGTGTATCGATTTGTTTCACTACACAATTACCTGACTATAGAAAAATAAATAAAAGTTATCAATAACGTCATCAAACTAAATCAATAACGTCATCAAAAATATCGAAATGATTACTAAATTAAATTTCTAATAAATAAAAAATCATTTGAAACTTGGAGCGCACTTATTCACTTTTTTCATAATCTTTATATCCTGGTTAAGAAAGGACAGCACGCTGTAGCAGCAAGTATCAGAATTGTCTATAAAAAAGGATTTATTTTGGTAGTCATGGCAAATGTGGCCAGCTGTCATGAGATTTTTTGATGAGTATGAGATTTACAAATCTGATACTTGTCATTTTCGACGTTATTAATTCTTTCTAATCTGACATTTGCCAATTTTTATTCTGTGTTTTCTTTGATAAATTTGAAATTAAATCTGCGTTTTGTTTAGTTAAAACTGCGATTTTCATCGCAATAACATGACAAAATCACTAAATAGTCGGAATCAGCAACTTTTCTCATCTCTACTTGATCATTTTGAACAGAAAAATTATCATGGCAGGACCCTTTTGCCGTTAACATGCGTTAGAGAAATAAAAATTAATGTTGTTTAAAATAAAATCTTCAAAGCAGCCGACGTTTTCTGTCGCTTCTATATAGGCAAATATTCTGTTAGTCATACATTTAGGGATGTCCAAAATATCGATAATTTTTAAAATATCGATATTGTATCGATGCATAACTCGATAAATATGCTTTTTTTAAGTTGACATGATGATATTTCCGATCTTAAAGAAATAAGTGAAACATAGAGGAGCTGTAACATAAAAATGAATACAGGGGAACTGATTTTGACTACTTTTACAACTCTTGACGTTTTTAATAAATTAATTTAACATGACAAAATACTTTCATATCCCTCTAAGTTTACTTATTTCTCTGACGATTAAATTGAATAAAACTTGAAAAAAAATTGTTTTCAGGGCTTCAAATAAACCTGTACCGCCAAGGTCAGCAAAGTCAGCCTATCACTTGAAATAGTAGGCCTCTAGTTGACACTTTTAGTTATTTTTTTTGTGATATTTTTTATTGTTTTTTTATTGCTTTGTATTTATTGCTACGTTCTATACAGATTTATTTTTTATACACAATTTTATTTAAGTAGCGTTGTTAGAAAATAAAAGAAAAATTGTGATGATATTCGTCGAGCGCCAAACTTGATTTAATTATAAAAAGAAAAAAATGTTTTGTTAAAGCTTTTATGAGTACATACTCAAATTTCAGTTATTTTACGTTAAACTGTTTAAAAATGCATTTTTGAACTGCATTTTAGTGCAGAAGAATATTTTTTTTCTGTTCAATCTGCATTTATGCTTGAAAATTTCAGTTTTTTATGCACAAATAAATATTACATTAAGAATCTTAGTCGAATCTTATATTTTCCAAGCTAATAATAGAATAATTCTTAATACAAGTCTTGGAAAATCAATATTTGAAAATTTAGAACTATTACAGGGTGGCATAGTGTTGAGGAAAAGAAATATCTGATATGGAAAATTTTAGGCCACCCTGTATAAAACATAAAAACAAGATTACCATTTTGTTGTCATTTTGAAACGTTCTAGTCTTTTCTTACGTATTATGGAAATGTTCCTGTGATTTAAAATAGAATGTAATAGTTTATTAAAATAAATAGCTTAAGCGAATATCATTTGTGTTTTATTGTTTCATTTACCTTTTCAGGATAATAACAAAATAAATATTCAAATTGTGATTCATTTTTTAATATTTTCACCATACACACCAAGTTGAACATTAAGCTAATTACATTTAAATAGCTTTAGAATTGCCTCATATTTATCAGTCCTGTGTTTAAACTAAACAAAAGCTATGTAAAATTAAGTTTTCACAAATGGAATGAACATTTTTTTTTATTTTCTGTGAATACTTTAAAACAAAATTCAACATGAAAAATCTATCATACCTCTCATCTAAATAAATTATTTACACAGTACTCCTAACTCCTTGGAACCAATTAAAACGTTAGCGACCAGCCACAAACGGTTTTCTATCATTGAAAAAGTTCTTTAAAATATACACCTGAGTCACGCCAATAGTTATCATTGCTACTGTTTCGAATATAGACCACCACTGCACTCTCTCATTTAAATCCTCCGCCCTTTTTCTACCTTGAGCTTCACGCAGCCTATGATGCGTCTGTAGGTCTATTATTAAATTTAAGTATTTGTGGATATCGACAGCTGAAGATTCCATCTAATAAAAAAAATGTAAGAGACTAGCCTAATAAGATAAGAATTATTTTATACCTGTGTAAGAGCTGTTACATGATCACCTATACCCGGAAGTGGTGATTCTTCACCGACTTGAAAGTCCATGTAAACAATTTTATGTGAAAATGTCGAGAACTCATTGCTAAAGCACGCACTGTATATTCCCGTTCTTTGGGCTGTAAAACTGTGCGAATCGAACTGCATTTTGGCTTGCTGATAGATTACTTGCTTCAAGGGGTCTTGTAAAGTAACATCAACATCGTACTGGCCTCCTGTAACAACCTATGAACCAAGTTAAGAATATATTAAGATATCGCCAGTATTATTACTAAAGCAAAGACAAAAATTGGTCCTGTAATAAGGTATACCTGAAACTCTAACGTGGCTGTGGTATTGGCTTTAATCTCCTGGAAAAAACATTCTTTTCCGTTATCGGGTAGTTCGAAAGTTATTTCGGAACTGAACACATTTAAAACGACTAATAGAAACGTAAGTAAAGTGAAATACCAATAAATCATGTTGCGATAGTCCTAATAATTATTTTCAAAAGCCTTTTACTATATTGGTAATATCATACCGATAAAATTTATAGTTTTTGAAAATTTTACTGACGTATCTATTCGATTAACAATACATAACCTAAAACGATGATGTGGATGTGTCAGAAAAAATGGGGTTTATATTATCGAAATCCTAAATTTTAAAATTCAAGAGGAAAAACTAATAGCTGTGCTAATAGGGATGGGCAGAGACAAATTCAGGCAATGAAAACTTTAGTATGAAAAGAACCTGGGCGTAAAAAACTAGTTTTTTACATACCCTGTCCTGCATCGAAGAATAGCAAGGAAATATTAAAAATTAAAACATCTTTTGCTGGTTAGATATTTTTATTTAACAATAACAATTATTATAAAGCTAGTAAACTACAAAAATACATAATATATTTTATTGTTTCACATCTAAATTTTTAGAAACAGTATAAAGCATAGAATTAGATTTTTTTTTACTTTTTTTTTACAGTTAAAGAAAAGGTTTTTATTTCACTGACGACGCTAGGTATATATAAATAATTTAAATATAATATAAATTAAATAAAATTTAGTGTTAATATCAAAAACTAACTAACTCTAAAATTAATCTACTGAAATAATTGACATATTTGTAGTAAATGAATCATTTTCTAATATACAACTTTAAATCTACAATGTGCCGAAAAAGTTTTATAATCAAGCGCGCATTGTATGATGATGGATATTTTCATTATTTATAACTGTCAAAGTCAAAGCCTACTTGATCACAAAACCTTCTTATCAAAAACACGATTATCTGTCAAAAAATAGCCCTATTGTCAAAATCTTAATAAACTACTTTAAGCACCTTAAAAATTATTCGTGTTTAAAACAGAATGATTGTACTACACAATTCTTTCATCTTAAGTCAATAAGATTAATATAATACACAAAAAATACAATAAAATCGAATTTAGTTAGAAATAAATGCATTATATAGAAATTGATTAAATACATTAATAGAGAAAACTTCAAGCTTATGAAATATTATTAAAAAGCGTTATAAATACAAGCTTGTATTATAATTATTTTGAATTAGGCACTTTTAAGTTATTATAATGTATATAAAACTACTAATATCTATATAGAAAGGCCTGTTAAAAGGCAGTAATTACATAATATAGGGATGTCACTAACTATGCAACCAGCAATACATTAAATCTTTATGTCTAATTTTAAATGTTGAGAGCTCAAAATAAGCCAAGATTTAGGATTCGTTGTATTTTCAGTTGCATATATTGCCGCTAAATGTTCAGATCCAATATACAATGTCGTATTTAGACATGTATGTTTGTAATAATATAATAAATTGGAGAAATTTTACCTTTGAATAAAAATAATTTTATTGATTGCTGCCTATCAACAATCTGGTGTTTCAAAACGTTTTTTTTTTAGATTATTCGACTGGAGTAGGTGCTCTTTTTGTGCTAGCTTCATGCTGTCTCCTCAAACGATTTCTCAGCTCCTTGGGAAATCTTTCGTAGCACTTTTTGCAAACCGGTTTCAAATCACACTCATAGAACTTGGTCTTCTCGGTCATTTTTTGGTCGCAAATTGAACAGGCGAAATGGTGGAAGCACCAGGCCTTGTTCAGAGCCATAAAAACTGAAAATTGTAAAAAATTCAAGTAGGTAAAGGGGTAGAAGTATCGAGATATGAATAAATTTACCGTCGCCAGAGATGACTTGATTGCAGGAGTAGCATAAGTTTCCAAACAATTGATGGTAGTGAGTTTCGCAGTAGGCCAGGCCTTTTTTCTCGTAGTGGCGATGACCAAAAAATGGTTTCTCGCATTTGGCGCAGACAAAATGCTAAAAAAATACTGAATTTTTTACCTCATTATCAAAATAATTATAGAGTATATCATCTTTTTAGAAAGCTCACAACAAGACAAATAACATAAAAAATAATATAGAGGGTGTTCCATTAAAAAAAAATTGAGTCACAGTTTGAAAACTACAGCTCGCAGCGAAAAACTAGTTACATCACTCGACTGTACGTAAAAAGATCTACAATATTCAGTTTTCAACTTTTCAATAAGTTATAAAAATAAGTTAGAAATAATAATAATTGCCTGGAATTTGATATCTATAGGAAAAATACCGCTACACGCAGATATATTCCTAATGAATCATATCGTAGTGTTGAACATAAAATGGCTAGTTTAAATTTCTTAGTTCATAGATTACTTAGTTTTCCACTTTCCAGCGAAAGATATGAAATAGAAAGAGATTACATTAGGAATGTAGCTGAGTGTAATGGATATTCTCCTTCACTAGTTGATAAAATAATTAGAAAACGTAGGTATAGGTTAATGATTTCTGAAAATTCGACTTTTCAAGTGGAGAAAGATACGTCAAAATATTTTTCAATACCGTTTGATAGAGAGTTATCCCGTGGCCTAAAAGGAATTTTTAAGAATGTCAATTATAAACTTGTGTATAGTGCTAATAATAAATTACAATAATTATTAGGTAATCCAAAGGATAAAACACCTCCACTGGAAAGGTCGGGTATTTATGAAATTTCTTGTAAAGATTGTAATCAGAAATATGTTGGGCAAACTAGAAGATCAATATTAACTAGATTTAAAGAACATTTAGCTCAAATAAGATATGGTAGACCGGATAAATCTTGCGTTGCCGAACATATTGTTGATAAAGAACATTGTATAGATCTTAATAATTTAAAATTAATTAAACAAGTCTCAAATTACAGGCAATTAGATGCATATGACAGCATCAGAATTAATAAATGTAAAGATAGTATGAACAGAGACAACGGTCCAATTCCTTCAAATTCTTTGTTCCTACTACTCTAGTGGCGGAAATTTAACTGTTACGCTCGGTGGGCTCTGACTCGGTTGGCTAGATCTTGCCACGCCTACTCGGTGCCCACTGAGCGAGTATATAAACGCTCAACTTCTAGATTGTATTTTAGTTTATAATCATCTGCTGATGATGCTAACATGGTTAGCGAAACGCGCGTCCAGTGTAAAAGTAAAAGTGTTTTGGTGTATTGTGGTGATTTAGTGTTTTTTATTTTGCTGTGTAACACCAAAGGTTCCAACCCTTAACTGTAATAAGTTATAAGATAACCAAGATACAAAGGGGGTCGAAAAATGCAAAATTTTAAAATTCGCCCTGTACTTCAGGAACTAAAAAGGCTAGGACAAATCTTTGTGTAGCATCTTAGTTTCATAAAAAAGTAGCAAAGTAATGTGAAAACCACATCTTAGTATCCATACTCATAAACAAGAAACCCCATAAAATACACGAAAATGGGACACCCTGTACAGACTCTACCTACTTCTACATGCCAGTGTTTTCCCAAAGCAGTAACCACTCTCTCCTCTATGGGACGTCTACAAGCTCCGCAAATGGGCACGCCCATTTTATCGTGACAGCGCAAGCAGTACAGCTCGTTGGTGTCGTTTTTGGCCAATCCCGGCCTGTTCCTAACTTCGCGCGCGTTAGCGTCAAGCTCGACACCGCACGCCGTACAAGTGAAGTGGTAGGGATGGTACACTTCGCCCCTAAATCTCAAGGGTTGATCGTCGATAATGGCACTGAATAAATAAAACAAAAAAAAATACAGTCTTCAGATACAGTTCGGATACATATCAAAGATTTGTACACTCAGATGCAAAAAAACACAACGGAGACATTTTAATTGGTAAAATGGTCAAATTTATTGAAAGTGTTATATTTTTGTTATTGTTAGCCCTATTTTCATGAATTTTTCAGCAAACTGTATATAATTATATCAACTTTAATTCGTAAACTAAGTTTAAATTAAACTTTAGTATTTTGCATATTAACAGGGTTAATCGAGGGGTTGTTTTTTACCCATACTTTAAAACACCCTGTGCAATAATTTCGTGTGTATATTTTCCTAAAATATAATTTTACGATCAGACCCATGACTCCTGAGCATCTTGTTTTTTCATGTCAATACATGCTTTGGTTAATTTTTAAGAGCGGAATGAATTGATCGCGATCAATTTGAAGTTTTTTTTAATTATCATTACTTTTTGATGTAATTTTTTAATATGACGAGATGGTTTTTGTGACTATTGTCGTAACGTCATATTACGCCTGTATTGGATACTCTATACTAAATTAAAAAAAAACGTTAAAGACTAACGATACAATCCTGGTTTAAATAAACATTAATAACGATAACAGAACTAACGATATTAAAGAAAACATCTGTAATACTCAAGTATACAAACAGAAAAAAAATTGTAAAATATACTGCCTGTATACGTCCGTTCATACTGTCATTGAAGCTGAATATATCATATTGCGTTATGCTTTCCCATTCTTCTTTAAGAACCAAGTGAAGTTCATTTAATGAAGCTGGTACCTCTCCGCGACCTCTTACCCTCCTGCCAAGCTTTTCCCAAACGTCGAACATGATGGGCAGTTCATAGTAGTATATAGTTCACAACAATCACCAAAGCGGGCTTGTCATATTGAAAAATAACTTCAAAAAGAAATAATAATTGAAAAAAATTGCAAGTTGTTGGGGGCAAGTTCGTTCCACTCTTGAAAATTAACCAAAGCATGTATTGATATGATTTAAAAAATAAAATGCTCAGGAGACATGGTTCTGACCGTAAAATTATATTTTAGGAAAATTTACACACGGAATTATTGCACAGGGTGTTTTAAAGTTAAGGTAAAAAGCGACTCCTCGTTTAATCCTGTATAATATGCCAAATACTAAAGTTTATAAAAAACTGAGTTTATGAATTAAAGTTGATATAATTAAACACAGCTTGCTAAAAATTTCATGAAAGTAGGGTTAAAAAATAACAAAAATATAACACTTTAAATTTGACCAAAAATTTCTCCGTTGCGATTTTTTGCATCTGAGTGTATAAAAACTAGAAGAAAATACACTTACTGACACTTATGACAAACGTATTTGCCCAGCCCTCTGGCCTTGACCTTGGCGTTACATTCATGACACAAGGCCCTTCCTCCATTTTTGATAAAGCCTGTATCGGCCAGCTCCAAGTTGCACATTTCACATCTGAAACAGTCGGCATGCCAAGAGGCGTTCATGGCTTTTATTACTCTACCGATGATAAAGGTGTTGCATCGTTGGCAACACGGCGCGAACAAGACATGGAAGTCATGCTCGCAGTATTTTCTACCGTCGTATTCGTAGAAGACACCGTCGGCAAACTCACGAAAACATTGAGCACACCTATAACAAAAAATGATAATTAAAATAATTTTCCCTAAACTTTAAAGGGTAAACTTAAGACATAAAAAAACGGTTTTAAAAAGTGTCATATTATTTTTCTATACTTGGCGTTAGCTGTCAAAAATTAATTTAAGAAAATTTCATGAAAATACTCACACAAAACAGTGTTGATGCCACAACTGTCCAGTTGAATTTACAATCTTCTCTTGAGGTTCAAATCCTTCTCCACATTTTGAACAAAACATGGTATCTCGAGACATGTTGGTAATCCTGCAAAAAATAAAACAGTTACTTTGAAATTCAAAAACAAACAAATATCCTTCAATGAATCACCCTGTATATTACTAACAATTTGGCTAATAATAAAACTATGAAAAACACTATAAACATTTAGTTACAAACATACCATTGGAACTTAGGAATAGTTTGACTAACAGGACTATCATTATTTCGAATGTGCAAAGGCACATTATCATAAATCTCAAATCTAACATAGCTCTCTTCAGTTCTAGAGGCCCGCCTCTGAGCCAGTCTACTATTTTTAATGGCCCCAATAAGAGGGATGTTAGGAGACCTATCGGTCGGATTCATTTTTCACTAAATTATAAAAGCTATTTGATAGGTGTCCTACTAGCCATTAAAGTATTGACAATTCTTATCTTTATATCATTTATCTCTTGATTACATTCAATTTTTTGCAAGATAAGAAACCCTACAAACATTGATAACTAATTTTGTCTAGATAAATATTGCCAAGCAGTTTGTATTACTAGAAACAGATAATCTTATTCAAGATACCTAAGAAAAATGTAAGTAAAGATTTTTGTATTTGTTCTTATCGTGTATGAAACTAGTTGATTACATACTAATCATATGTTAAGATTAAGCCCTAAAACTGTAAACACTGCAAGCATTTCCAAGCAAGCACAAGCTACAAGTAGAGTTTGCTTTAACTTTAACTTATCCAAACACCAAGAATTTTAGTTAAAAATCTGTAAAACAATAACATGCTTACCCAGGCATAGGCAAAGGCGTCGGTGACATAATAGAAGATTTGGTAAGATTTTTCTGCGACCCAAAAAAGAAGGAAAAGCTAATTCAAACTGAAAATAAACAACTCGGTTTGAAACTGGCTATGTACAAAGAACCAAATGCTTTAACAGTTAAATATACATGAATGGTACAAAAAAATCTAAAAAATGACCTGGAAAACTCACCAAAATTCGATTAAAATGAAAAATAAAAAAATATTTTTCACTCAACACACCCAATTTCTGAAGAAACTTAACCTTCAAGAAGAAAAGTCAACATTTATCAATGGTTGACAGTGATTTGTTGCCCTCTTTTTCTTTACCAAGTTTTTAAAAAAAGCGAGAAACATTTGTTGACACATCGCGGACAGCTGGTGACCAATCACAAAAGACTTTACCATTTAAAGGAAGCACAGGGCTGTATTACAGATATTTATTTATGCAATGTTGGGAGTAATTTGAATAAAGAAATTATAAACTGTTTTATATTATTTTATTTACACATCTTATAACACTAACAAAAGAAAAATTTACATATACAATTAAATTATCACTTAAACATCATTTCTATAACACACAAGGTGTAAATCCTCATTTTTTTACAATATTCTAATGGAATGATGACAAAAAGCATTTGCAAAATACGAATTGTGACAAAATTGATTCAATTAAATACATTGAGCTAAAATTCTTGCGCTACAATACTGAAATTTTAAAAATTTAATTATCTTTCTTCATCCTAGTGCTTGTCATCCTATAAATAATTGAATCACGACCTGGATCCATAGTAGCAGTAGCGACACAAATGGCGAAAATTGAGAAAAAAATAACCACGCAAAGCCAAAGAATAATGTTGAATATGACGGGAAAGTCCTTGTTGTACTTGGCTGCCAAATTGTATTTATTTTTCTAAAAAGAAGATAAAAAACAGCATTATGATAGCATTTAACACTGTTTATTAACTCACAAGTTCTTGTTCTTCTTCGGTGGCCAAAATGTTCCTCCTAACTCTGGTGTGACTAGCATCACTTGTCATCACATTCACAAAAACATGATTTCCGTATGCTTTGGAAAATACATCGCTTAGATGAGTAATAGTGTCTTGAAGCAGCTGTTTAGCTTCTTGGGTTTGGGTTGAATTTTCACCGTGAAGATCAGAGAGAGCATGCAGGGATGCAATACGGAACCAGTATACATCTGGTACAAAATCTTCCTTCACAACACCTTCGCTAACCTATAAATATTATTATATTTTATTTTTTAATAATATTTATTTTTTAATAAATATTAATATTCTGAGTAGTTTAAAGGGCGTTTCTACATACTCTACATACCTTTTGTGCAACTTGGTTGATAATCGCTATATCTTTTAAGAAATCTCTGTCTTCTTCAACATCCAATTTCAAATGCTTGTGACTGACATGCTTAGGACTGTCACTTTTTATGCCATCAAAAATGCTGTATTGTTTGACCTAATAAAATCAAAATTTAGATAAAAAAAATAGTAGTATTAAAAAGACTTACATCATCTAAACCATTGGACAGATCGATTCTAACTAGTGTAGGTTCTTCATTAGGGAATCTTTCAGTGATTCTTTTAGCCAAAGACCTGAATATTCTTGCTTCATCGTCGTTAGTTAACAGAGGGTAGTGGTGTCCTTTATTTTGACCGATATCCTTGACACCGTCTACAGCAATTGTAACGATTGCTTCAGGGATATTGAAAGGGTTTTCAATATAGAATCCCTGCCAGTGCGAGAAGTGTTCAGTGGAGAACCCAAGGGCTGCAGTGTAGACTTCGGGAAGGGTGCTTTGTTTCACTGAGTCGTGTCCTCTGAAAACTATACTCCCTGGATGGTGAATTATAGAGAATTCGCCAGCTCCATAAACTGAAATGTTTCGTTGTTAAAAAGCTGCTAAATATAATTAATAAGGAAAAAAATTACCTGTTGTAGCCAAAAAGAATAGAGGTAATATCGACCACATCGTTAAATGGGTAAAATCGCTCCAATATTTGCAGATGACCGAACCTTAAAAATCATATGACGACGATCGATCTGTCAAACTCACATGGGGTCATGTGATTTAAACAAGAGCTGCGTTCAAAAATTACTCTCATATTCTAATTTTAAGGATACTTTATCTCTATGCATTTTTATAATACTTTTTAAGTATTTTCCTCAATAAATACCCTTGTTTATAAATACATATGCAAGACCAGTACTTTAAACTCTAAAACACGTTTAAAAAGAAATAAGTTGTCAATAGTCAATCTTCTATTTAAATTTGTTTTATTTTCAATTCGTCATGTTTATATAAAGTAACTAACTAAAAAGTAGTGTAGATGTAACAAAAAAGTTTAATATTTGAATAAAAAGACTATCAAAGGGTTACATTAGTTATTTAACTAAATTAAATAATAAAATACAAATCTATGTGAAAAATTAAAATTGACTGCTGTAACTATAGCTGTAACGTAGTGTCAACCACAGATCATACTCATGATACAAAGAATACAAGGTATGATATTGCGCAGGTTGGTCACTACGTCACAGGTGATAAACGGTACCATTGGTCGGCAAGCTTTACGCGCCAATTTCAATTTGTCAAACAGATTGTGTCATCTGTGAAATTTGATTGTGTCAAAATATAAAAATAATTTTTCAAATGTCAAGCTCGATGATTTGACATAACTTTTGGGGTTATGTCCTAATTCTTCCCTATTTTAGGTCTTTTTTTATTAGTGGCGATTGAACAATATGGATATTTTTTGTATGGCGTATGACGTCACAGGTGGTATGCGCAAACTTAACGAAATTGAAGTCGCTATCGATCATACCTTGTTTTCTTTGTACCATGGATCATACTTGTAAACAATTTTTTGTTTGAATCAAAGCGTTGCCAAAGTTTACGACTTCGGCGTTGCCATAGACGACGTAACCAACGTAACAGCGCTTTCGGATGGAGAGCGTCCGCGACTGTGTCCGCGACTTCGAGCAAGTACCATGAACCATAAGTTATGAGTTCATATGAATAATTTCATATGGGTCGCGTATGCTCCGTCCAGATGAGTTCGTCGACGGCTATCTTGAAAAAACATCGGCGCGGACGCTCCCTCTATCTGAAAGCTCTGTAAAATGGCAAATAGAGAAAAAAAAATACACGAGATGAGAAATACCTACTATTACAATAAAACAGACTACCTTATTTGAATATTTTTATTCCATATTCTTGTTTAAATATCGATTATAATAAAAAAAAAACATAATTTTATGTTATTTAACGACCCTGTGCACTCTTCGCAATCTGTTCCTTCAGCACCAAAATGCTATTCCTTTGTTCCAGAGGTAACATAGCGATCTGCTCATCAGATAATTGAAGAACTTGCATAATAAGAGCAGCCTAAAACGCAAAAAACACGATAATCAAAGTAAATATTTTCATAATAACGCAAAGAACATACTTTTTCTTGATCAGAAGTACCCGGATTGGTGGCCCCGCTGACAGCTGACGCTACGCTGGCTCTCGAAGGCTGGTTTGACGTGGGCGATGACGTAATCGAGGTGACAGGAGGCGGTCTGACAGATGGAGGAGGCACGGCCGTTGGAGGCGGAACTATAAAAATAGCAAATAAATGGTATAAATTAGTGTAAGGTAAATCAATCAAAAGTCCGTCGAGCAAGAGAAAAAAATTGACAGAAAATACAATTTACTATTGAATTAAAATGACGGACAGACTATAAGTGCTTACCCATAGTTTTCTGTCTAGGATCAGCTCTTGCTGCTTGTCTAGGATCAGCAGGAAATGACTGACCAACTGCTCTTGGATCGCGTGGATCTCTTGGTTCTCGCGAAAAACTAGAATATATATTATACTTGTAGGATAATCAGTAAAAGTTGGTGGACACATCATCAAACTACTTTTTTACATTGACTTTTGGCAAGTGTCAAATTATATTCATAATTTTGTCACCGATTTTTCAATTCATTTTTAGACACCATATATACATGATTACTTTGTCTATGATTATAACGAATTATAATAAAAATCGCAGTTTTAACTATACAAAACGTAGAAAATGACAAATGTGAGTTTAGAAAAAATAATAAAATTGAAAATATATCAGATTTGCAAAGAAAAATGTCATGACAAATGGCAAAATTTGCCATGACTAGCAACATTAAATCCTTTTTTTATCGGCCAATTCATTTACTTCATGCAACAGCGTGCGGTCTCTTTTTGACCAGGATATAAGAGTTCAAAAATTTCAAAAGAATTTTTAATTATTAGAAATTTGACTTTGTAATACGTTTGACACCTTTGATGACGTGCACGCCAACTTTTATTGATTTCTCTATATGCACTTATTTTATTCTATGTGATAGCTGATTGGTATGAATATGGTGTATATGCAACCAACAATACCCTAAGTCATATATTAATCTTTAAAAACATATAAATGTCGCACCCACTTAGCGTAATTATTGTCCGTTTCATGTATGGAGTCTAGAGGTTTCATGAAATGGATATCCACTTAACCACACACCTAACCAAACCAAATAAACTTTTATTCCTCCATCTAGTACCAGTTCGTGAAGTGGATATCCATCAAGAACAGTTAACCTAATAGGACTGCTCATTCAGCCAAAAGTGTCCGCCAGGTGCATGCGAAAACTACTCGCTTTGTGACGTCATTGTAGCCCTTGTCATGGTTATTAGTCCTTATCCGGCAACCAATAATACACACACGTGCATTATTGGTTACCGAATGCAAAACGTTCATTATTTAGTTTATTTATTTAAACACCTTTATGTATGCAGTATAGAAAATTAACTGTATAAATCGTATTAAATACTCGGATAATGCATTTTTAAGAACAGCAGTTCCCAGTGTATCACCTTTTGCAAGCATTCTTTTTAGAGTACTTCCATATTTTGCTTTAAAATAATTAATAAACAAAATCGTGGGCACTTAGTATGCACTTTGTCACAATCCACAACACAAAATGAACGTATTTATACACTCCATAGCTCTAAAAACTTTAAAGACACCTTTTTCACATTTAAAATTGACAAAATAATTAACTCAAAATTTCTCAGCTGTTATTTTTATAAGTTTACCATAGGCAACTAATAATACACACTATCATGACAAGGCCACGAACGCTTTGACAAGGGCTACAATGACGTCACAACTGTCAGCTGAAGCGCGGGAAGAGGCGAACGTACGTCTTATGAGAATGAGCAATCCTATCAGTTTACCGTTCTTGGATATCCATTGGGTGCGACATAAATACAAAATCGACTGGTGATATAATATCATTCTCAATCTTATGTTAAAAATGTTTAAGGTTGAAATTAATGGAGCAAGAAAATCATTAGGGTTAGGAGTATAACTGGTTGCATACCCTGCAGCGCCATTGATACTAATTCAAAAAATCAACTTTTTACCTGTCTTTAGTCACATCCGGTGATTTGAGTATAGAAAGACTGCTTGTAAATAAAACATTTAACGCAAAAAAAAAACATAAATATAAACAACATTTATACTTGTATAACATACCTTTCAGCCACAGGTGGAGGTAAAGGATTAGTAAGCTGAGAGGGTGGAGGTAACTGTCTCATATCCTGATCTGCCATTCTGCCCAGTCTTGGATCTGAGGTACCACGAGGATCTAGAGATCTTAAGTCAACATCTTGGCCTGTAAATACGGGGGCGTTATGGGAATTTGGGTGCATAATTGGAGCAGGAACGGGTTGGAACTCTTGTCTGGGAGGTGCAACTGGAGTTGGAGGCTGTTGGAACTGAGCACTAATTGGTACCTGAACAGGAACATTCTTGTCTCCAGGCATCAGAGTAGCTGGCACTTGGTTTACTGGATGCAGAAGTGACTAAAAAATATGATATATTTATTGAATGTTGCTTAAAAAAATTGGTTATAACTTACAGCTGCTGTATGAGGGTCAATAATTTTCATAACCACCTGAGCTTGTAGCAAAGCATATGCAAGTTGTGGATTTTGTAATAGCATCTGTCTAGCCTCTGTAGGATTATTCTAAAAGCAAACAATAATTTTGTAATACAAATTATAGGTTTTTTTAAAACATTCCCTGAATAAAATATAAATAATAATTTACTTGAATTGTGCTTTTCATTTGCTTCATAAGTTCAAACATTTGTTCAGGAGGTAGTGAAGCCACAGCTTTGCTGATAGCCTCTGGAGCTTTTTCAGCTTGAATAGGCTCTCCATAAGGATTTTCCACTGGTGGCTGATTGAGAAGATTCTGCATTTCCATTCTTGACTTCTCTGTACAAGCATTATCAACTCTTAAGTTTCTACCGCCTATTTCGTAGCTGTTTAAGTTCCTCATGGCACTAAGTGCCGTTTCCTGGTCACGATACTCGCAGAATCCATATCCTTTGGGTTTGCCAGTCTCTCGATCAAAAACAAGTCTAAAAAATGTTGTGTTTTATAAAAATGAAACTGGTAGCTACATTATTCATACTTGAACGACAAAACTTGACCGACCTCACCAAAGATATCTTTGAGTTTTTCTTCGGTGGCTTCATAGGGAATATTTCCCACTAAAAAAAGTTTGTGAGAGAACATATAGAAAAATATTAAGCAATATTCTTACCGAAAACGGATCTCATAGACTTGTCCATGATATTGGCTTCTAGATTGTCCATGTTGAATTTGTTTCAGGATTTCAATAAACTTTAAAAAATCTAGTCGGCTTTGGTACTTATTGAATTTCAAACACAGATTTAAAAATTAAGGACGCTTTGAGGTTAGGAAAACATCTGTCAAAATTTTAATGAAGTGCTCGACTGTCCGCTAAGCGGATGAATAAAATAAATTAATCGACCGTTTATGTAAAAAAGATGTAAAAGACGTAGCTCAAAAATACTCAAAAACTAGCCCTGAGCAGCTTGAGTTAGCTTCAGTCTTAGTTCTTATTATCATTGAACACATTCAATACTAGAAGCAGTCAGAATATGAGACATATTTAAAATCAATCAAATTCAAATGTAACCGGACGAATAGCCATATCCAGGCCATATCAAAAAAGACATTTAAACTTTTTACCGGTTAAAAATTAAAATTTGTTTATGATTTAATTTTATACTGTTGTAGATTTTTTTGTGTGGTATTATGAGTCAATAACAACTTACAATACGAAATTGGTTGTATGGAGTTTAGTTGAGTAAACATTACTTTTAAATGTGTTGTCTCTGGTGTTGTTTAACAAATGACTTTGCATAGTCTCTGTATTCTTTTGGTACTATCTTATAAATTATTTATTGTTCGACTTCCTCCTGTTTTGTTTTATTTTTATATTTCTGTATTGTTTTTATTCTATTTTATTTTCACTTTATTTTGTATATGAAAACCTCCTATACATGTAACCATGTCAAATGGAAATAAATTAATAAATAAATAGTCATTGAAAAAAAACCTTTTAATATTAATTAATATATACAAGTTTAAAATACAGTTTAAAAATAATCAGACATTTTTTTATTAAGTTTGCCAGCATCAGCAGAGAGTTTCCTCAACTTTGTGGAAGAAGGTAATTTATTGGTTTTGGTACGTTTAAAGCCGGAAGAGATTTTTCTAGGACTAGGAAATATATCTTCTTTACTAGAACTACCCAAACCATTATAACACATACAGTCATTTAGTTTGCGCTCCATTTGTAAGGGTTCTAGTTGTGATGTAGATTTATTTTTAAAAATTGAGAACTTATTTTCGTGAGAATTTGGTACTAATGGCTTAGTTCTTTGAACTCCAAAAGGTGCTAAACTTCGGGCAGGTAGAGGTGAATCATTAGGAGGATTCACCAGCTCTACATGTCTTATCGTACGGGAACTTTTTTGTTCTGGATGTGATGAAATAAATGATACTTCTCTTATATCTCTATCTTTTGGCTCAGTAACAGGCACTGGTGGTGTTCTATGACAATTTACCGGACTCTCACTTACAATTCTTCTAATACTAGTATTTACAGAATCATTTAAATTATTTCTAGACATTTTTTCTTCCAGCTGGGTAAATTTATTTTTTAAGAAATTAACTTCCCTCTCATAATTTAACTTTAAAGCTTCTAATTCCCTTTTTAAAGATTCATATTCACATTTTTTCTCTTCCATATCTTTCTTATACCTGGTAAAATCAGTTTGAATTTGTTTAACTTGAAATTGTAACTGTCGTTTCTTTCTGTCAGTCTCTACAAGCGATTTCTTTAAAGTTGCTGCCAGCAAAGCCAAAGACTCCATTGAGTTTTCGTTTCTAATTATATCATCAACATAGCTCCTGCTAGCAGTTACAGCTGCTTGTACGTGTTCCAAATCTTTCAACTTATTTTTTAACTGACTAACTTGTTCGATCAATGAATCACAATTTTGAGATTTAGTTTTGAAGAATTTGATTTGATCTTTTAAGGCTGCTATAGCTGATTGGTGTGTTACTTCCTCTAATTCCAATCTTTTTATTTCTGATCTTAAGGCCACATTCTGTTTATTTAATTCTTTTTTCTTTGCCTGAAGATTGCTTATGTCTTTGTCTTTTAATCTCATCTGGAATTCCACACCATCTAACTTATGTTGCAGTACAGTGGCATCTTCAGAGTTATCTGAACTCGTCACATTTATATATAGCCTCAAAAGGGAGTTTGTCGTGGTTTTAGTTCTACATTGCGGACATGTTTTAGAATTATCTAACCAATGTATCAAACAGTGATAATGAAATATATGGCCACACGGTGTTGAATAAATATCAGAAGTTGGTACAAATAAATCACTACATATTATACAACTCAAATTCATTTTTCCTTAATATTTATGGATCCAAACAAACCCCTATAATTAAGGCAAAAAATTATTTTAAATTAATAACAATTTTGAACTTAGTTAAATCCTAATAGTCAGCTCACCAGGGTTGTTCCTTCTTTAAAGAATTTAATCGGCTTCATAGGTCGGCTTTGGTACTTATTGGTACATAATATACTTTGGTACTTATTAAAAATTTTTAAATTTGAAATGCAGTTTAGAAAATCAAGGACGCTTTGAGGTTAGGAAAATAAATATCTGTCAAAATTTTGACGCAGTGCCAACTGTCTAGCTGTCCGCTAAGCGGATGATTAAAATAAATTAATTGACCAACTATTGAGAGATCAAAAAGCTTACGGCACCCTGAGCAGCTTCAATTGACTTCAATCTTTAGTTTTTATTATCGTAGAACAAATTCAATAATAACTGAGAAAAATATTGGAAGTTGGAAGCAGTCCGAATATGAGATCAAATTCAAATGTAACCGGACGAATATATTCATTATTCATCCGTTTAGCGGACGATTACTAACAGCCATATGAAAAAGTTTGACAGATAACCAAACATGAACCTAACTTTTTGCCGGTTAAAATTAAAATTTAAAATTGTTTATAATTTAAGTTTTTCACCAAGAATATAGTTATATTCGTATTTCCTACCTCTGTAGATTTTTTGTAGTAGTTTACTAGAATAAGGAAAGGTATTATGAGTCAATAACAACTTAATCTTTGATTAAAATTTGGAATCTATCTCACATTGAACAAATATAAATATATATTACCCCGGATCTGTAGTTGTCTGTAGTATAACGTTTTTCTAGGCTACAGTATTTTTACAATCTTCAAGATGTCTCACACGATAAAACAATTAGAGGAAAAAAATGTTGTTAGCGAAATTAGTTGTATGGTATGGAGTAATCGAATGGACTTAGTGGCTTTAGCAAACATTAAAGGTATTTTGTGATACTCATTTCTACTAGAATATTTAAATGACTCAATGTCTATAGGTGAAGTAGCCTTACACAGACTGACATGGACTAAAGCGTGGGTGTTAAATCCACCAAAAGATGTCAAAGCCCAAACAGTCAAAGGAATATCTTGGAGGCCCGATGGAAAAGTATTGGCAGTAGCTTACAGCAATGGAACCGTCCTACTTATTAATATCGAAACAAAGGCTATTGTTTTAAGCTTCAAAGTAAATGATGAAATATCGTTTTTATCTTGGGTACAAGAAAAAACTGAAGTTAAGCAACAAGATGTTTTTAATTTAAACGAAGTGGAATCTGAACTTTTAAAATCAATTGTAAGTTGACAAATATTTATTTAAATTGTTTATTGATGTTTTATTCTAATACTAGGATTTATCTAAACCATATCTTAGAGATCCTCCACCTGTATCTCCTTTGGAGGATTCAATAAACTTTGAAGACATCAAAGGTTTAACCAGCTTTTTACAAGAACAAGCTGAATTTAACTTGCTTGTCATTGGAACTAAAGAAGGACTAGTGCATTTGAGAGTATTCGGCTGTTGGAAGTGTCTAAGTTTAAAAGTTAGCGATTACTTTGGGTATCAATGTTCAATAAAAAATGTCCACTTCACTGAAGACTTGAGTAAAATGTTTATTACAGTAGAAGACAAAGAAAATGTTACAACAGTTTTATTTAATTCTGAGATATTTAAAACCCACAGTACTGAATTATATCACGTTACAATGAAGTATATAAAATTGTACGAGCTTGTATTGTATTTAAGTAAAATTATAACAAATATCACAGAGACTTGGGAAAGTATATTGTTGCAATTTGATCAGAAATTGTCAAAGTACGCTAGTCAAGTACCGGAGGGGGGTGTTACGGCGGATTTTTTGGAACTGCTCATGTTTGGAACGTTTACTGAACAAATGGAGGAATTCCTGATGCATGATTTAACTAAAAAGGGACTGGAAAAATTCGGACAGACCATGGAATTTAGTTATTCAAATATACAGTCGTATTTGATTAAGCATATTATTAAATATGCGCAGAATGGTACATATTACTTGGCTGAATTGAAGGGAATGTCTCAATTTGAAGAAAGATATGGGGTAAGTAAAAAAAAATCAACATTTCTGTAAATTTGTCATATTTTTAAAGCTAAATAGCTACTGATTGCGGCTTCATCATCAATGATTTAAAATGCCTTGAAACTCAGTAAATTTATATTTATTGATGATTTATTGAGTTTAAATATTGTGGTTTTCTCACTTTAAAAAAAAATATGTATATAAGGAACCAGCCTCTTAAATTGCGTACTGTACTTATTAAACACCCTGTATATATTTTTTGCAGTATTGTGATCTGTGTTCCTAAAAATATACAGAGTTAACCAGTATAAAATGATATGAGGAACAAGGGGTGGAACTCAAATAGCGATCGGTAGCGATGAAGAATACTGTGCTTACTGGCTGTAGAAACTTAGAAACTAAACAGCAAGCGACAGTATTCTTCATCGCTACCGATCGCTATTTAGTTACAGAGTTTCTCCTCAGACTAAACTTACTACCCATACCTATACGATGTACTACCTGTACCATACTTATGAAACACCCTGTATTGTATAAAGGTGCGTTTGCACCCGCTGCGCTGCTCCGCGCCGCGCCTCGCAAATCATTTTTTTAACATATACTTTTGTGCGCGCTAAAAAAAATACACTTCAAAAGTACAAGTTAAAAAAATGTTTTGCGCGGTGCGGAGCGGCGCAGCCGGTATGCACGCACCTTATTACTACTAACTGTTTAGGCATTTATTTTCAAACATTTTATCGACAATTACATCGTGATATGGAAGCTTAAAATAAAGGAATTTCTATTGTTCAAATCAAAGGAATTTTGACGTTTTTTTATTCTTTTTTGGGGATTCCCAAAAATCCGCGTTTCACTCTATTTATTTCGGTGCTTGAACACCTACAGAATTAATTCTAATAATGATCCTAAGGCAATTCCTAAAAAAATATACAGGGTGGACCAGTATTAAATCTACCAATATCCGAAAAATTTTCTGTATGAGATTTTTACTCCTGTTTTGTTTACAAACCTACGAGGAAGTTAAAAGTATAAACAATACGAGGTAGCGAACAATTTAAAAAGATTTTGGGCATATACAGGGTGATTCAAATATATTTTACACTAAAGATATAAGTTGTTAAATGCAGGGTTGTATGCCCAGTGTCCCATATAAAATCACACTACGGGGATCTCATAACCCGAAAGTATGATGTCCCAAGTGGAATGATCATATTTTTACCGAAAAATTTGGATTATTTCATAATTAACAGGCAATATGTTGAAGAGAGATAAATATTTGAATCACTTTGACAGTAAAAATATATTAAATTTTACTGTTAAAATATACCGGGTGTTTTTCAAACTTTTTATTTTTTCAAACAAAAAATCGAGAGTTGGTATGTTAGTATAGACATAAATCAGGATTTATTGACGTATTCAATTCTTTTTGGACACTTCCTGTTTCACCGGAAATGATTACAACTTTTGATTTTTAAACGGTACACTCTAGGGGATTCAATCCCGGGATTTCGGGATTCCGGGATCCCGACGTTTTTTATCGGATTTTTTCAATCCCGGGATCCCGGGAAAATAATAACAGATCCCGGGATTTTATATAATATAGTAAAACGCTATTTTTAAGATTGTATATGCAAAAACTTTTTAGTTGAATTTCTTATAGGGCCGCGGCACTAACATATACGTATTATTTACAAATATACTCAGCCTAATCTCCAAAAAGTGAAGCCCAAACAGTGAAAGAACAATATGGAATTCTGCATAAGTCTATTTCACCCGGATATTTATTTAACTGCGCATGCCTCACCTGAAGAAGTTTTCATTGGTCGATGTTTTTAAAGGGAAGTGGTTGACTGACATTTCCCCTAACCTTCAATTTGATTTATATTTTTATTATTTATAACACATTATCATGGAGTTGGAAAAATATAAAAAAATAGTTGGAAACAATAAACTAAACAAAATCACTCTTTTACGCGCACAAATAAAAAGTAATCCAAACAGAACTAAAACAACAATCAATCGGAGTTTGGCGCAATCGCAGTTCAATCCATATCCGGGTGAAATAGACTTATGCAGTTTTAATATGGAGCTGGGTTATGTTGTCTTTTTCTTACGGCACAGAAATTGCACACGGGGTTAAATAGGGAACCCTGAGTATATTTGTAAATAATACGTATATGCGCACTAAGGGGTATTTAACCCAAAAAGTTGGCCAATATTCAAAAATCTAAATTCAAGATATCAACCAACCAATACCAGGAATTATTTGTATAAACATGAATGTATTCGAGGGTGGGTGGTAGGGGTCAATGTCCCCCCGTGTTACAATCCGCGCCAATCACAAATTGTTCTTCGAATAGACGGGCTGTGTATCGCTGTGCTTTTACAAAATTTACTTAACAATAATTATCTTAGTTTTTCTTACTAATCGCGATCTTTTATTGATTTTATATTAGTTTGGAGTATAATATGGAGTATTACTCTTTAGTATAACTGTTATTTTGTAGTTAGAACAATATTAATCTGCTAGTTCAATAATAGACATATTATTTCATTTATAACAGAATGTTTATGTAAACTTTCAGTATGTAATCGAACCTTATCAAGTATATCGATCTGGCTGGTTTTGTAGCTTAAGTGTTCCTTTGGAAGACCTTGATAAGAAATTTTGCTAATTTTTGCGAGTTTGGCAGTTACAATTTTTTTTAATTGAATAAAAATGTAGTGTTTTTCACTTTCAACACCCTGTATCTTAGAAACAACGCATTACTGGACCTATGTTTATGGGAACTTTTCTCTATAAAATGACCTGAGGAATAGGACATTCAATCCCGAAAGAAATTTTCAATCCCGGGATTTCGGGATTATAATTTTTCGATCGGGATCGGGATTCACGAAAAAATTAATTACGTTGGAATTATATTACATTTTCTTTCTTTACAAAATTTTATTGAACAAAAAAAACATTAACATAAATTAAACGTCATCCCCACTACAAAACAACATAACATATAAGTTTATATAACAAAAAAAAAACATAAAAGGAACTAAAATATACATTTTTTATTTAATTTACATAATCAATCGAATACAGCATAACACAGGATTACTAAGAGATACTAAAATAACAACTTATGCAGTAACAAAGATGAGGATCTAAACATGGTTTTTTTGGTTTTTGAAGAAATTTCTTAAAAAAAACAAGCCGATCAAGAGTATTATCACTCAAACTAGATCTTCATCATCTTCAAACTTGATCAAACATTCAGGGTTGTTTATAAGCGCATATTGTACTATCATGAAAAACTTGTGTACGATTTAAATTAAGGAAAAAATGTAATGATGAATCCCGAAAATCCCGGGATTAAAGAAAAGACAATCCCGGGATTTCGGGATTGAAAAAATGTCCGGGATTGAATGCCCTACTGAGGAATCACTCCCTCGAGTATTGACATGTTATTGTCAATACTCGAGGGAGTCTCGACTTAATCTTGTCAATAAAAAAACGCTAGGTATGTATTAAAATTTGAAGCAATTTCTTTATTTTCTCACGTTTTAAAACGCGGAAGAATGCAAAAAAAAAATAAAAATATTATTGGCCAGGTTTTGAGGTAAAATACCCCATAGTGCGCCGCCGCGCGCCGCCGACAAGCGATACGTCGGTGATTCCCGGAATAATAAAAAACTTTTGAAACAAGAAGTAGCAAACCTCTTGAAACGACTAGATATAACAAGTAAAATCATATTAGATTCTTCAGATAGTTCGGAATCGGATGAGGATTTGCTAATTGCTACTATTCAGAACAGGTACCAGGCCTTAAATGATGACGTGTCATTTTCGGAGAGGCTAGATGAAGCGTTAACCAAAAAAATGTCAAATCGCATGACAGTGCCACCAGTAACAAAAACTGAAAACTTGAAAGCCCAAATAAAAAATGAAATGGATACGTTCCAGAAGAGTGGACAACGTGGAACAAACTTACAACTAGCTTTTGATTTTTTAAGTACAATGCCGCCTACAAGTGTAGAATCGGAAAGGGGTTTTTCGTCAGCAGGCTTGATAGTTACAAAATTTCGTTCTGCTATGGGAGATGACACAATAGACAATATTATATTTTTGCGCTATTTTTTTTTAAAAATATGGAATAATATTATCAGTCCAGTTTCTTTTTTGTTTTGTTTGAGATTTTTAATTTTTGTTTAATGTTGTTTAAGAAGAATATTTACTTATTTTTGTGTTCCAAAGACTTTGTTTTTGTTTTAACTAATTAACGTTAATTTTAATAAAATGTTCTTTGAAAGTAACATTGGTAACATTATTACTGAAATCCCGGGATTGAATCCCGGGATCCCGAGATTCGGGATTAAGAATCCCGGGATCCCGACAACATAAAATTGTCCGGGATTGAATACCCTAGTATAATCGGCTTCAATCGTATTTTTAAGGATGGCCCATTTTAGAAACAGCAGTTTAGAAAAAGCATTTTTAACGGATAATTTGGTACCAAATATTTATTGGTATTTCGAGTCAAATTGTTGTTATGAACACAGCCATTGCACTCTAGTTCGAAATAATTTAAAATTCTATTTTTTAAGCAAAAATGTCAAAATATGATGTGTCATTCTATTCAGAATGTCATTATTTTTTATCGAATAAAGTAAAAAAAATGCCGAGAGTACCATTCAAAAATCAAAAGTTGTAGTAATTTCCAGTGAAACAGGAAGTGACCGAAAATAATTGAATACGTCAATCAATCCTGATTTATATCATATACTAACATATCAAATTTCGTTTTTTATTTGAAAAAAAAATTATAGAGGTTAGCCACTTTTAAAAAGAACCTAGTGTTTGTATCACCCCCTATATATTATATATATATGAAAATATTCTAAAAGTACGTGTTGCTATTGACCGTATATTTGTTAAAAAAAGAGTAAAAATCTGACACAGGAAACCTGATAATAGAGTTTTCTTATTGTTATATATTTATTATATAATGTCATTGTTTGATCACTCTGTATAGTAACAGACGAAAACACAGACAATGCGGAGCGTTATTACAATAATAATTCACAATGAAAATGGTGTTATTTTATTTACTACAAATCAAGGATGCCTATAGCTTTTAAAATAAAGTAAAATACTTTTTTTATATTGATGCTCGCGCAAATTCTCTGAAACGTTTTATTCGTGAATCTCTTTTCATATATAAAGAGGGAAAAAGCTTAGCTTGAACCATTACAAAATGAAGACTCTTTTTTACGGGTTCATTTTAACCTTCATAGTGGTCAAGGGTGATGAACCACCCTGCAAGAACCCCAGTCTATCAAGTGTAAGTGGTGATAGTGTTAAAAACAAAAGTCCTTGCTCCGGTGATTTGATTTTCGACGAAGATTTCGACAGTTTTGACCTCTCAAGATGGCAACACGAAATCACACTGTCAGGTGGAGGTAATTGGGAGTTCCAGTACTATGCCAATAACAGATCAAACAGTTATGTAGAGAATGGAACCCTGCATATCAGACCTACGCTGCTTTCTGATGATTTTGGTGAGAAGTTTTTGTGGTCCGGTACTCTGGACTTGAATGCTGGTACTCTGGCTGATGCTTGTACCGATCCGTCCTTTTATGGTTGCGTTAGAGCAGGTACAGGTCTAAATTTTCTGAACCCTGTTAGAAGTGCGAGGATAAGGACAGCTGAATCATTTTCGTTTAGGTAAATTTTCCCTTATGTTTTTTGTTCTAAAGTATATTGCCGGATTGTCTTAACAAGAGGAAAAAACTTTTTGAGAAAAATGCATTCTTTATAAAAATTTTTGCTTGTTTTAAAATGGTTAATTCCGTTTATACTTTTCCAAATTTCCATACCGTTTTAGAGAAAAATAAAAAAATATCAAAATATACTTGAATTTTTTTGAAGTGTTAATTTTAAAATGTTAAAAAAACAAAATTTTTAATCACCTTTTTAGTAACATTGAACTATCATTGAACTAAATAAATTTTGTGCTTCTCTAACATATTAAAACAGCAACAAATATGACCTTAATCAAAATTATTAATAACCATTTATCAAAGAATGAAATCGAAATTAATATATTACCACAGAAACGCCTTTTTATTTTTAGGACTTATATTTTCATGGTTTTATTGATTTGGAAAACTCTAAACGGGATTAACCATTTTAGAACAATCAAAAATTTTTATGAAGAATGCATTTTTCTCAAAATATCAATAGTAAAAGTAAGTAAATAAGAGAGAGAGTCTCTTGTAAAGACAATCCAGGGACATACTGTAAATGTTAACAATAATTTTTTTTTGATCTAGAAATGATTAGTGTTTAATCAAAAAGTGAATGTTATCATGATGTTATCGTTGTGAAAATTAGTTTTTCTAGTTTTCTATATTCTAAAAATACTGGTAAGGGTTCTAACTCACTGACGACCAGGTCGCAATGACCTGGCCGTCGGCTGGCCGGATGTATTGCGTTTATAGCTGCGGCCAGATGAACGACCAGTTTCAACAGAGTTGTCAGATCTAACGATTTTTTACGTTTTACGAATTAGAAAATATTGTTTCAGAATTTCATTCGCGGAGGATCAGTGCGTGCGTGCTCAAGTCTAAACGCACCAATAGACGTGTTTCTGTTCTGGGTTCTATTATTAAAACTTACCCTGTATATGTTTCATATGTGCGCAAGCGCATACTAGAATATTCTAAAGACAAGTAGAAGAAGTAGAAACGACATTTTATTAAGGTTCTTAAGGTTTTTTAGGTTGTTTCTTAGGGTTAATGTTAAGGGTAAGGTTAGGACTAATACGAATTATGAACATTATATTATATAATTTCTTAGTTAAATAATTGCAAATTCTTCAAAATTGGAAACTTAATGAAATTTACAATATTTCTTATTTCGGATCAGGTATGGACGTGTCAAGTTCCGCGCAAGAACACCTAGCGGCGACTGGTTATGGCCTGCAGTCTGGCTGATGCCACGCTACAGTGTCTACGGAAAATGGCCATCTTCCGGAGAAATCGACCTCCTCGAAGCCAGAGGCAACAGAAACCTTACAAATACTCAAGGCACTAACGTAGGAACCCAGCAAATATCCAATACCTTACATTGGGGCCCTTATAATGAAGCGAATAGATGGTCTAAGACACATTTTGAATACAATGATCCCAAAGGCTTTAACACAGACTTCCATGACTACGAATTCATCTGGACTCCATCGTATATAACTTTCAATGTTGACGGTGAAGAAATAGGGTCAGTAACGCCACCTAGCGGAGGCTTTTGGGAACTAGGGGGTTTTGACAGCGCCACCACTGATAACCCTTGGAAGGGGGCATCGAACATGGCCCCCTTTGATCAGGAATTTTATATTATTATTAACTTAGCCGTGGGCGGTATCTCGTTCTTCGACGACAGTTTTGTGAATCAGGGTGGTAAACCTTGGTCGAATAAGTCCCCTGTGGCTTTTAGGGATTTTTGGAGGAAGAAGGAACAATGGTTGCCGACTTGGAATATGACAGATGACAGTACGCATTTAGTTTTGGACTATATTAAAGTATTTGCTTTGTAAGACTGATATTTTATTGTTATTTATATACAGAGTGTTTCTGTTTCATAAATACTTTTTTTTTCAGTTTTTTAACCAGGGCTATTCTTATGGATAATACTATGGGGTTTTAAGAATTTTCGAACTAATATTTGACATGTTTTTTTTTTGACGGATTATAGAAGTTAATATTATCCATATTTTTGGACTTGAAATGATTAATTTTTATTCACAAACAAGTGAATGTCATTTTGAAAAATAGTCTCGCTAGTTTTAAAAATTTTAAAAATATTTGTAAAGTTAGGTTAACTGAAAACATATGCTTCATATGAGCGCAAGCGCATACTAGAATATTCTAGAGATAAGTAGGGGAAGTATGAACGTTATTTCCTTAAGTTGTTAGAGTTAATTTCTTAGCTTATGTTAAGGGTAATACTCGAAGTATGGACCAACCATAAGACTGTTACTTTATTGTATATAAAGGGTGTTTCATAAATAAGTGTCAGAAGTGGTAGATTTGGATAAAATAAGTATATTTTAAATTTTAATTTTTTTATACCAGTCTATTTATACCAGTTAAAATATTTGAACTTATTTAAGAAAGACTCTGCGTAATGTCTTTTTTTAAAACCTTAGTTTATAACACTAAAATATATCATAAATAAATACTGCATTTATAATATTTTTTGAAGTATACAAATTTAAAAAAAATCTTAAATAACAGATTGTTTTTTCTGCTTTGATAGATTTTTCACGCTATGATTAAATAATAACTGACAGTATAATAATTATTGTTATTTTTAATTATAAAGTATAGATGTTTTATGACTAAACAATATTTTTTGTTGCGCTACAAGCAAACAGTTTTGATATGTTTTGATTATAAAATTCATTTTTTAAGTGTTTTTCAACTAATTTTACAAGTGGGATTTAAATTTTTCTCAATGATTATTATTCATTTATTCAATTATCTCTGAAATGCTGTAAATAATATTTTATTTATAGATAATAAAAGTAACATCTTCCTGATTTTGATTGTTTAATTTTATCTGAAAGTAATAATTGTATAATTCGACTTTGGATTATATGATTCTAAAAATAGATTTTTTAACGCTATCAAAAAATCAGAAATAATTGCTTTTCTAAATAACCTTATGCATGAATGGAAAGTTGTATGAATTCTAAGCTGTTGTTTTGCCAAGTGTTTTGTTATGCACCATTTTATATGTTCTCAATGATTGTTTAATTGTTTTTCAAGGGCTCTTAACAATAATTATAAATAACACCTGGATATTATTTTTTTGTTCGAAAGTAATATTTTCTTCTGATTATTTCATTATTTTTATCCTGAAATTTTCTATTTACAAATCATAAACCTGAACGTAATCTATAACAAAGTTAGTATTATCGCCACTCCATGTTGGTTCCCATTGGCTTTTTCCCACCCATGTCCTTAGCTGACGTAAGCGAGGTGTTCGATCATGGTTTTCTTCATCTGGGAAATGGTGCACTCCACCAATTGCCAAATTGATGATCAAATAGAACTCTTGATCGAAAGGAGCCATTTTAGTAGCTCCTTTTCAAGGATTGTCTATATTTGTCTGTGCAAACCCTCCCCAAACCAAAACACCCAAAAACCTCCAGCAGGTGGCGATACCGACCCAAATTCTTCATTGTCCAAGTAGAAAAAAAAACATCAGGGTTCTGGAATGGTTCCGGACTAACTTATAGGCGTGGAAGTTGCTGTCGAATCCAAAAGCTTTGTTTTTCTCCTAGTGGGTCTTCATGTATTGGTTAGAACCCACTGCAGGTCCCCAATGAAGAGTGCTACCCATTTGTTGTGACCCAGTGTTCACTCCTTAAGCACTAACCAGGTTTTTGTGGCCTCTGCTTTTCAAATTTTCTTTCTATTTCTCTAGAAAATGCTCAAGTGCTTTACGTATCTTAGCGAGGAAGAAGCCAAATAACAGACTAGATTAGTTATTAGTTGCATCCAGGTGTTTTGACAACCGTTAACTGATTATCTATTGGTCTGCTTCTAGTGTTTTTGAGTAGGTTAAAGGAATAGACTTATAAAAAAGTATCAAATTTTAATGAAAAAGGTTTTATTCTATTACATAATTCCTTATTTACAAAGCATAAACCTGAATATAATCTATAATAAAGTTAGTATTATCACCACTCCACGTCGATTCCCATTGGCTCTTTCCTACCCAGAAATCCTTAGCTGACGTAGGCGAGGTGTTCGACCATGGTTTTCCTCCAGGATTCGTAGCATCATCCGGGAAATAGTTTACTCCACCCACTGCCAAATTGATGATCAAATAGAACTCTTGATCGAAAGGAGCCATTTTGGTAGCTCCTTCCCAAGGATTGTTTACATTTGTCTGTGCAAACCCTCCTAACTCCCAAAAACCTCCAGTAGGTGGCGATACCGAGCCAATTTCCTCATTATCTACGTAGAAAATGAACCCATCGGGGTTCCAGACTACTTTGTAGACGTGGAAGTCGCTGTCGAATCCAGAAGCGTTGTTTTTTTCCCAGTGAGTCTTCATGTATTGGTTAGAACCAACTGCAGGTCCCCAGTGAAGAGTGCTACCCATTTGTTGAGACCCAATGTTCACTCCTTGCGCACTAACCAGGTTTTTGTTGCCTCTGCTTTCCAAAAGGTCGATTTCTCCGGAGGATGGCCAGGTGCCGTAGGTATTGTAGCGGGGCATAAGCCAGATGGCAGGCCATAACCAATCACCGCTAGGGATTTTTGCACGCGTCACTACAGAACCGTACTTGAAGGAGAAGGAATCTACTGTTCGGATTCTAGCGCTCTTGATGGGGTTGACGTAGTTATCTGCGGTGCCTGCAAGGGAAATTGATATTTAGGAACAATGTCAGTATATTACAAACTATCGATTCTAGTACCTGTTCGGCTGCATCCATAATTGGCCCCATTGGTACACTCATCAGTAGGATCATCTCCGTTAATATCCAGAGTACCAGAAGACAAGAACGATTCACCGTAGTCATCGGATAAATATGTGGGCTTTATATGCAAGTTTCCATCTTTGGCGAAACTGTTGGTACGATTATTGAGGTAGTACTGGAACTCCCAGTTACCGCCACCTGATAGTGTTTTCTCGTGTTGCCACTTCTTCAAACTGAACTCCTCGAAGTTGTCCTCGAAAATTAACTGTCCAGAACATAGCTGACCGGTAGGCGCGAGGGTACCACTGACCGTTGTTTGACTTTCTGTACAGTCTTGTGAATAAGTTGTACCGATTAAAGCAGCGCAAGTACTGAGTAAAAACAGAAACCCTTTCATTGTCGCAGTTGTATTGGAACTACTACGATATTTCGCGCATTTTGTTTTATATACCTTTGTTATAAATATTTTATATAGCTATCTTGAGTGTCACATTATTATCTTGGAAAACCTTTTAACACAGTACATTATTCATTTATTGTTGATAGTTTTTTGTAATTATCAATTGCATAATTGTATTGTATTTTGTGTACATTTTTAGAATTCATGATGGATTAGTAATATTATAAGGTGATTGTATTCGTTAATTTTTTTAATGAGATTTGGAATTTTATAACAATTTCATTTAATACATATTATTATTGTATTTTATGTTAAAAATAAATGTTCAATCTATAAAATATCGATAATTAGTTACTGTCCATGTGTGTTTTACAGGGTTTCTCGTATATGAATGAGATACATAGATGTTGTTTTCACATCACTGTGCTACTGTTTTATGAAACTGCTTGAAGCAGATTTGTCCTGACCCTTTTAGTACCTGAAATACAGGGCGAATTTGAAATTGTTGCATCTCTTCTCGTATCTCTTGTTACTCTCCTCGTATCTCGGATGACTATTAACTTATCGAAAAGATGAAAACCGAATCCAGGTACGGTCAAAAAGTAATAACTTTTCAAACCAGTTAAAAAGTATGTAGGTGGCATCGAAATCAAATTTCTCATGCCAAAATACTCCCAGATACCAATTTTCATCAAAATATCGAGGTTAGTTCAGAAATTATTTGGAGGAAATAAAAATAAAAATGAAAATTCTACACCCTGTATCTCCCAAACGAACCAGTTTAGGACATAAATTTATACGAACAGTTTTACTTATTTTTATATGCAGAATATACTGCCGAAGTTTCCCGAATACAATTCGGACCACCCTGTATATTTTCAGTCAAGAAAAATCCAAAAAATAATAATTTTTACCTAAAAAATACGTACAGAATCTCATATGATGCAGTCATTAGACGAACATTTTTGTTTTAGGTCATCGGATTGAACACTGATGAGATCCAACAAGCCATCCGTTCGAATGGGGCTTTCATAATCAAAGCAGGCGAAATGCAACAGATCATAAACCATTCCGTCATCAACTACAAGGCCTTCTTCCGATGGCTGTACGGCTCCATTTTACGTCTCATGGACGAACACGTGCCTTCAGAAGTGCAAAAAATGACACAACAAGACCTGTCCTGCATCGCAGAATTCCTACAACACTTTGACAACTACGGTAAAGTTGGCAACAAGAAAGGCAGCACGTTTATTATGGAGAGAATCAGACAGTATATGGTCGATGATGACTTGACCATTAAGCCAGATATGACTGGGAACGAATGGACTCAATTCCTTGAAGAGAATAACTGTTTAAAGTCTAACGAGAACGTTCTATGTCATTATCTCGACAAATCTCTTGTGCAGGTGTTTAACGAAATGAAGAGAAGCGTCGAGAAGGTTTTTGAAACGCCTGTTCAGAAGATTTCAGAGAAAGTTCAGCCAGTTAATACTTTTTGTAGCTTGAAGTTGCAACCGATGATTGCTAGAGTCTCCTCGATTAACATTTCGAAGGATATACTCTTGATGGCGTTGCAGAAATCTCCAAAAAGCTTGTATTTTTTTCAGATAAACATCGATAACTCCTGTCAGTGTCTAGTTCGTTGTGGAAACATATTTTTCACCAAAAGTCCATTCCAAGAGTGTGAATTCGACGAAATACTCAATATTATCGATGTTAAATTCTATTCCACTTCCATTCTGTCTCTATTGCTTCAAGAGGGACCCAATTCAGATAGAGCAGTGCTTCTGCAACTTCCAATGTCTCCAGTTTTGCAGCAGTTGGCCGAAGTCGATATTTATGCAGGCATAAATGAATCTTTCGTTCCTGACATCAACGGGTCATCAATCGAACAGAAAGTGTTCAGGAACGTAGATATGCCCGTTGCTGAGTTTTCAGTGTCTGGAAGCAGGAGGGTGAGCATCGTTCTGGGTGAGAACAGGAGGAAAATTAAGTTATTTGAGATGGAAAGTGAGGAGGACGAAGAGGAGGACGCGGAGATGACCAGTATGATTAAGGATGATAGTATGCAAGACAATTTTTCTAATGTTTCAGTTGAGTAGTATAATAAAATAACTTTAAGTAATAATAATAATATGCTTCTTTATTTTAAATCCAAATGAATATAAGAACCAACGGATGGAGTCAGTTTCTGAAAAATAGTAATTGTTTAAAATATTAAAAGACCGTTCTATGTCGTTATCAACCATTCCGTCATCGACTACAAGGCCTTCTTTCGATGACTGTACGGCTCCATTTTACGTCTCAACACTTTGACAACTACGGTACAGTCGCAACAAGAAAGGCAGCACATTTATTATGGAGAGAATCAGACAGTATATGGTCGATGATGACTTGACCATCAAGCCAGATATGACTGGGAACGAATGGACTCAATTCCTTGAAGAGAATAACTGTTTAAAGTCTAACGAGAACGTTCTATGTCATTATCTTGATAAATCTCTTGTGCAGGTGTTTAATGAGATGAAGAGAAGCGTCGAGAAGGTTTTTGAAACGCCTGTTCAGAAGATTTCAGAAAAGGTTCGGCCCTGTCAGTGTCTAGTTCGTTGTGGAAACATATTTTTCACCAAAAGTTCATTCCAAGAGTGTGAATTCGACGAAATACTCAATATTATCGATGTTAAATTATATTCCACCTCCATTCTGTCTCTATTGCTTCAAGAGGGACTCAATTCGGATAGAGCAGTGCTTCTGCAACTTCCAATGTCTCCAGTTTTGCAGCAACTGGCCGAAGTCGATATTTATGCAGGCATAAACGAATCTGTCGTTCCTGACATCAACGGGTCATCAATCGAACAGAAAGTGTTCAGGAACGTTGACATGCCAGTTGCTGAGTTCTCTGTCTCTATCGTTCTGGGGAGAACAGGAGGAAAATCAAGTTGTTTGAGATGGAAAGTGAGAAGGACGAAGAGGAAGACGCGGAGATGACCAGTATGATTAAGGACGATAGTATGCAAGATAATTTTTCTAATGTTTCAGTTGAGTAGTATAATAAAATAACTTTAAGTAACAATAATAATATGCTTCTTTATTTTAAACCCAAATGAATATAATAACCAACGGATGGAGTCAGTTTCTGAAAAATAGTAATTGTTTAAAATATTAAAAGACAGTTCTATGTCGTTATCAACCATTCTGTCATCGACTACAAGACCTTCTTTCGATGACTGTACGGCTCCATTTTACGTCTCATGGACGAACACGTGCCTTCAGAAGTGCAAAAAATGACGCAACAAGACCTGTCCTGCATCGCAGAATTCCTACAACACTTTGACAACTACGATACAGGTCGCAACAAGAAAGGCAGCACGTTTATTATGGAGAGAATCAGACAGTATATGGTCGATGATGACTTGACCATCAAGCCAGCTATGACTGGGAATGAATGGACTCAATTCCTTGAAGAGAATAACTGTTTAAAGTCTAACGAGAACGTTCTATGTCATTATCTTGATAAATCTCTTGTACAGGTGTTTGGTTTGGTTTGGTTGTGAGTTTTTATGAGATGAAGAGAAGCGTTGAAAAGGTTTTTGAAATGCCTGTTCAGAAGATTTCAGAAAAAGTTCTGCTAGTTAATGCTTTTTGTAGCTTGAAGTTGCAACTGATGATTGCTATATAGGATCTCCTCGATTAACGTTTCGAAGGATATACTCTTGATGGCGTTGTAGAAATCTCCAAAAAGCTTGTATTTATTTCAGATAAACATCGATAACTCCTGTCAGTGTCTAGTTCGTTGTGGAAACATATTTTTGAGATGACCAGTATGATTAAGGACGATAGTATGCACGATAATTTTTCTAATGTGTCAGTCGAGTAATATAGTCAATAATTATAATCTCCTTTGTTTGAAATTTAAACCAACAAGAATCTAGTAATTTTTTTTACATAAAGCAGGACAATATTACTGGATGATTGCGTTAGAAATATACGTAGAAATTTAATTTATTGTGGTGATAACTTTTGTTGAAATTTGTTGGTAATTTTTTACTAATGTAAATTACCCAACTTTTCGTATAGAAATTCTAGTCACTAATATTTCCGACGAAATTGAAAAGCTTTGGAAAATACTATCACGTAATGTCAAATGTTTGTACATTTGATAATCTCTAGTCTTGAAAATATAAAATTTTCAATTTCTGGAATTGGCTAAAATAATCCTATAATTTTCACTATTTATTTTTTAAAATGTGGCTAGAATTTTGATATTCCAATGTGAATCATGGATCTACTAAGAAATATGTATACGTTGTTGTAAACATAGGTATTTTAATAATTTTTATGATAGTCAAACCAAATAGATCGTAAATGGAATCAATATTATACAAGGTGAGAATCGGTTATTGATTTTTTTTTTTGAAAATTTGCTGAATCTTACATAAATGCATCTGCTCCGTTAACGCCAATTAGTTCTAGAGTTACAGTGTTGCCATGTTATTTGAAAAGGTGTAGCATCTTTAATTTTATACACCCAGTATAATTGTTCTATTACATTTAAAAATAATAATAAATCTTAAAAATAGATCTTGAATAACTATATATTGGTAAAATCCATTGTTGTCATAGCTACCCCATTCGGTATTTGTAAAACAATCTAACTCGCTCTGGGTAACAATCTGTGCTATACGCGGCTAAGAAAATCACTATATTAAACTTGATACTGTAACTGTGTACCAATATCATCTGTTGTGTGGTAAGAAGTAAATTTGCATCGATAGGTTTGTAGCTTCTGAATAACAGTCTAGGTAAAAAATCTAGCTCATTTGCTAGCTCAAAATTTACTAAAAGAATTAGAATTATTAGAGTTAAGCAAATCGCATTTTCATTGGAGAACATTGACATATTTATTTCAAACCAATAATCAACGAGAATATTCGTATAATTTAATAAAATTACTAAGGTTCGACCGAATCTGGATTTTTAGTCTCGGTCGAGATCGAGAGAAAAAGAAGTTCTCGGCCGAGAACGAGACCCAGACACGATGCAATATTTATTTAATAGTTTATTATATGAAAAAACATCTGATAATAATGTAATAAAAACGTCATTTTCGTGCAGAAACGGTTTTATTGGCATTTAATACTATAAAATTAGTAATACTAATAAAATTACTTTTTTAGTCTATGTTATTGGCTAAAAAAGTTTTTCAGCATTGAATCCCTTCAAATCATGCAGTGTTTTATCATACTCTTTCTAAATAGTTGTTTGCTAGAGACGTTTGTTGGTGGTGCAGACTAGAAATTTATAAGCTGCTGGTTTCAGATCTGTGTATGGTATAATTACACACAAAAATTTTACTTATTAGTAGGATATACGAGTAATTCATATAAAAGGACAATTTTGTTAAATTTGTAAAACTTACATTAATAAGACACTAACATTTAACATTTCGTTCATTGTTTACTCATCGAAATACGATAGCGACTCTTCAGCCGTCCGGGAAATCCCTTTCGTGATTCGATCAGATCATATATGGATTCTTTTTTTTCGACTTCAGACGAGTCTTTCATTCATCCACGCATCGATAGGTGGAGCGATATGCTCAAAAATAAGCTAATTTGACGATCGTGAGTAGTCTCGGCAGTGGCCGATAATCTCGGATCTCGGCCTTTTTATGCCGAGAACGAGACCGAGATCTCGGCCTGATTTTAAGCCGAGAATTACTATAACCGAGACCGAGATCTCGGTCGGACCTTAAAAATTACTGTAAACCACTATAAATACGAATTGTTGGCTAGGTTCAAAATTTTTTCTCTTAAATAAATTTAAGCGTTAACATTATTAGGCATTTGCATAAAAGTGTGTATTTTCGGTGGTATTCCTCAAAATTTGCAGGCTATTGAAAAAACAGAAAATGTACAGATCACAGAAATAAACTGAAAATAATATTTATATTAAAACAGCATTATATGTCACTTTTTCAAACATGTCCTTCAAATCCTTCAATTTAATAGATGTTAGTAAGAAGTTTCACTTAAAGCGGCCCATACATTATCAAACAAATTGCGCAACAAAGCGATGCGCAACGTTGCGTTGCAGAACTGATTCAGCGGTCCATACATTATCAAACAAGTTGCGCAACAAAGCGATGCTAAACGTTCCGTTGCACAACTGCCCCGCCCATGCAATTAGTAAAATTTTGATCAAACTTTTTATTAAAAGTTGTGCATTGTTTGAGAAACAATCATGTCCTCAATTTCCATTGCGTCAATTATTATCGTGTATACCCTAGATGATGTCAATGATACCAAAAAACGAAAAAGAAAACAAAGAATTTGGATGAAAGAACTAAAATATTGCACAACGAAGAGCAACACACACATACACTACAAAACGCGATGCGCAAACGCCTCTGTTGCACAAAAGAATTCAAACATTCTTGAAACTTATCAAACAATTGCGCAACGCATCAAACGTTACCATACATTGGCAACTCGATGCGCAACAGCATGTGTTGCGCAGTTTGTTTGATAATGTATGGGCCACTTAAGATATGCACACATAGTGCACACACTGTTTTTTGTCGAGAACTATTATAAAAAAATAGAAATGACAGGGTTGTCAAAATGGTAATATGGTTTTCAAAAATGTAATAATACATGTACTGGGTGTTTCATATTTAATATAATAAAGATGCTTGATTTGTTTTCCCAAAAAGAGGCATTAAATTTAGGGTGTTCACGTATACATATTGAGACACAAAATAAGTAACACTAAATATTATTTATTGAAAACGTTTAATAAAATAAAGATATTTCAACATTCATATTGGTAACTATTTCAAAATCTTCTAACAAGTTTAAATAGCCATATAGTAAGTAATTCCAAGAAATTCTCAATAACAATTTTTAGCTTCTCAACACCAGAACTTCGTAGTTGCTGTGTCCAACTTCTTTGCCATCGAATGGTACGTAGCACACTCCATGACTTGGATGGACCTAATAATAGAAAAATAATAATGAAAGAGATGATTAAAAAAGTTGCATATGCTTTGTCGTACTTTTCCTATGGATAAAGCACCGTCATGGTAAACTCTTCCGATGAACAAAGACTCGCCGTCTGCAGTTCTGCCTCCTTCTACGGCACCGGGAGGGATGTTTCCACCTCCTGAGGGAAGCCAGTCAAATCTTTGTTCACAAAGAACCTAAAACACAGGGTGTTATTAAGAATATGATCAACTAGGACAAATAGTAGAAGAAGGGGAGCACAAAATCAGGGATTTTGGGATTTACCCAAGCGCGGAGAATAACATTATGAGGGAAACCTTGCACCCTGTTAAGTATCCTCTCCAATATATGAAACTTTTATACAGGGTCGTGCGTGTAGGGCACCCGACCAGAGTAGTAAAAAAACTGATCGTTAGAAAAACTCGAGCAAGGTGAGTTAATTTCATGCACAAAGGTGTCCATTTAAATAATCTGGCGATTTAACCGTGACATAAGGAAATTGGAGAGTCACAAGTTGCAAAAAGTACATCACTTCGACATTCTCGAGCCTGGTTATACCGTATGATCGAATAAAAACAGCGTCAGCGATGGCTATGAAATGAAGATCGCTGTCATTTTATATGTAAAATTATATGGGAAATGTCATCGATCGTCATTTCATAGCCATCGCTGACGCCATTTTTATTCGATCATACGGTAGTTTTTACTTTTGAAGGAAATCATTCAGAAATCACGGGAATGACATAATCTGCTGATTTCCACATTTGGCTGAAATCTCTAATAATGTGTGGAGCTGAGAACTATGCATTTCTCTCTGTAATACCAACAATTTGTAATTAATTAAACATTAGGTATAAAAAGTTAATATAAACACATTTTTAATGTTATTTCCCAAGAAAATAGGATTACAAATGTGAAAGTAAACTCACATGAAATTTTATGTCAAACCTAAGTTAGTCACACTGTTGTAAATCAATAGGTATCTAATCACACAAAATCCCTATGCATATTATGATGTTTACAAAAATCAATTATCAGAAAGTAAATATATTTTTTCTTGTTCTATTTTTAGAATATCCTATGTTATTATTATACGTAGAAACAGAGCATATTTCAGATTTTTTAATTATATTATATCTATATTTAGAGAGGCGTTCAAAGATGACACTTGTTTGATCAATAAAAAAACATCTCTATCACTTGCATAGCGTTGGATCAATATTTAAGATGTGTCATAAATAATTTGTCATTAAACACAACTTCTTAATTTAATATGATTAAATTATAATGAATAAAATGATAAAGCCGGTTAGGCAATATTGCAAGACTCAGGAGAGATACTAAAAAGTTTATTTTAAAACTTCCCACGAAATTTACAGTTCTAATAAAACCCAGAAAAGGAAACAGGAATATTGTTTAATCAATAATGACCCTGTCTGCCCTAATTTAGTACGTTTGGTCAATAATTTCTTAAACCTACTCCATAATTCACATGTTCTCTTAAAAAACTGCAATTTTTTCGTAATGCAACAACGAAGTAAAACAGGCTTAACTGCCAGTCCGACGAAAAAACTACCCTACAACCCTCACCGACAGATTCAAATTCAACTAAAAGCCATCGCAGTACCCGCGCCCTTCAATTGGAAACCTTATTCAGGTTTCTTTAATCCTTACGCCCCTGGATGTTCATTATTATGCAACCATCCGATCGACCAACAAGCCAAGGAGTTACTTAGAAAAGCGAAGGATAGCTGGAAATGCAGCAAAAACGAAGAAATCGAAAGCTTACGGTCAGGACTGAACCAGCTCAGCCACAGAGATAAAAATGACGAAAACTACTGTTCACAAATCGAAAGCGTACCCGAGGAACTGTTCCGGAGGTACACTGAAACCGATTCAAGACCTCTAACGCCCGCACCTACTTTGGCTAGTGCAGCGACAAGAGCCTCAGCTACCCGAAGATGCGTCACTCCGGAAGCCAGTACCGGAAACGGTAGGGCGAGGTTAGTTTTGGATCTGCGCAGAACACACAGCCAGGAAACCATATCTTACAGCGCATCGCTTCAAGAACCGCCAATAATTCGAATCCAGCACGTACCTACTAGGACTGTAAGTCTGGAAAATTTACCCCAACCGAAGGTATCACCATCCAGAAGAAGTTTACCTGTACATTCGCCGAGGAAAATCAAGTCAACTAATGCTAGCGTCAGATGTCAGGTCGCAGAGCCTATAAAACTGGACGGAGAAGAGAAACACGAAGAAGATGATGAGGATATTGTTAAAAGAAGAGGTAAAAAGAAAAAGAAGAAAGGACGAGATGCTTCTAGAGGTCCGCCAGCTTTCCAGGCTTCTTTGGATCCGGAAACGCAAGTAGCTACTATAGGTAACGATTCTAACAATCCAAGTGCGAGGGCTTCTCTGGTACCTGGACAAGAAGCTGGTGAAGGTCCCACTTCTGCCTCTTCCGAGCACAAAAAGAAACATAGGTACCATAAAAGCTTGGATATAGATTCGTATCTTGATGCTGAAATCCTGAAACACCTTCGTAGGGAGCTGAACGAAGAAATAGTCGATAGCGAGTTAAATATAAAGCGTCGCATGGCTTTAATAGAGGCATTAAAAGCAGTGCCCAAGGAGAGAATTGATTGCGACGAACTCGTTACTCTACAGAAAGAATTAAAGGTGCCTCCTTTAAACAGCGAAGTCTGGATATCTTTACCCAGGATATTCACTAGATCCAGTGCCAGATTTGAATTGCCCATGGACAGTAGATCTCTATCAACAATAACCCCACTGATTTACGCAAAAGAACACGTCAGTATCACTTCAGGAAGAAAGCTTCTCTTCAATTGTGTATTCAACAAATTCAAAATGGAAACCGACATCGATGACGCCTATGAAAGAAAGATGTCTGGTGCGAACCTACAAGAAGCTCTGGATCTTTTGATGGGCCGTCCAATGACAGTGAAGGAAACTGAATATTTCAGGAATTTGGTTGGTTGGAAAGACTGTGACGTGTTTGATTTTAAACTATTTTGCGGTGTTGCCGCTGTGTGCGAGAGGGTAATGGCGCCATGGTATCAGCCCAGGTTGCCAGATCGGAAGGAAGATCCTTGTCACGAGATAGAAACCGCGGATTTTGAAGTGTTGGAAAGGAAATTGTGCAAGCAGAGTGTGGATGAAAATGTTTTGGAATTATTAAAATGTATTAAAACTTTATGAAATACAATTTATAATAAAATATTTTTCTTTTATTCTATTTATACCTGATACTGAGTGAGTTCATGTTCCGAGCCTCCATAAGCTACATAAGCCACTTGCTTATTAGGAACGACTTTAGCGGGTATCCAATCGTTTTCGTGGAAAGCTCGACCAACATAGATTGCATCCCCATCGACGTCGTGTCCTCCTAGCAACGCTGTTGATGGTATTCCCCCAGGATGATGGACATCTACCCAATAATACGCTGAAACAAAATTAATTTAGTCTAATATTTATTTGCTCTACCTTTAAAACAAGTTGGATACACAAGTTTTTCAATATGTTTAACTTGGGGTTTCTATACGTTCGGATTTTCCAGGACATGTCGGGAAAGTATTTGAAAAATGTCCTGGAAATCTAACAGTAAAAATGTATAGTACTTACATTTGTAGCCACCCATCGAAGGAGGTGCATTAGGAGGTTTAGACACTACATATGGTTGTGGTGTATAACCATGATTAGAATTACAAAATTGAGGATTGTTGATACTATCTGAATAATGATGATGTGGATCAGATGGGTACAGTAAAGGAGGTGATTTCCAATGAACTGTTCCAGTGGGACTGTTGATGCATTTGGGACATTGCTGACGTGTTATAAATGTGTTGCTGTGACATATGCATTGCGGAGGTTCTGAGGTGGGTGGAGGTGGATACCACGTGTCCTTGAAACCGTATCCAGGTGGCCCTGGAACGGAAATTAAAGGAAAATTAAAATTTTTATTTGGATATAATTGTAAACCTCCGCAATACAACCTCTTTTCTCAACGGGAGTTTGGCATAGGATATTAGATATAGAGAATGTATTGGAAATAATACGAAATTAATAATTTCAGGCTTTATTATCTGTCCTTGTATACAGGGTAGCCTATAATATATGAATACACACTTCAGAGGGATCTCGTAAAACAGGAGAGATACAAAAATAATTAAATCACATAAATAGGAACTATCGGAAAAAATAGGAACTATCGGGAACAGGAAATAACTATCTTATCCGATAGTCAAGCAGCACTAAAAACGATCAACTCAGTAACCATTCGAAGTTGGCCGAAGAATACCTAGAGAAACTGATCAAATTAGTCAAAGAAAATAAAGTCCTCCTACTCTAGGTGCCCGCTCACCAAGGAATCATAGAAGGCAGTGAAAAAGCAAACGATCTAACTAGAAAAGGAGCGAACACTCCACTAACTGCACCTTCTGCTTTCACAATTTAAAGCGGAACTGAAGAACCTGGAGAACTCCATCCGTAACCTGGAATAGGAATCCTCCAACGGTCTAAGACACCCGAAAAAGTTCCTCAGAACATACGCCCTAGAAGAATCAAAGATTTTCCTTGATTTAAGTAAGCACAATCTTCGGATTGTCACTGGGTTTCTAACAGGACACTGTCTACACTGTAACACCGCAGTAGAATGAAGCTGAGAAACAACGGAGAATGCAGATTCTGTGGGAAAAATGGGGAAAGATGGAAACCCCAGAACACCTTATCACTGAGTGCACCGAGACGACAACCGTTCGTGCCATAAGCTTTGGTACGGCCGATGTCGAAGATGGAGAGCTGGCCTCTATGAAGCCGTCTCGGATAGTTATAACTCAATAAAGGGGAACACACAATAGATCTGTAAGGTTAGGTTAGGCCAACACTCTACTAACCGGACCAGAACCGCTTTGCTTCCTAAGTGGAAACCAACTTAAAATGAAACTCAAGAATTTTGGATAACACACAAACTAGAGATAATCTACACTTGGATTCCTCCCAGATGATCATTAAAAGTATAATTATATAGCAAATGAACCTCTTAAATTTAGTTTTAAAGCAAGAAACTAGATATGGAATATGGAACGTTTTAGGAACATCAAATCACTCAATTATATAAGTATATTGTACATTGTACTGTCATTTCTTAATCTTTGTTAGTTAATCTCATAATCTTAAGTGTTTTTAAAAAATCAATATTGAAAAAATAAACAATTTTGAGAGTTCTGTTGTTAGCTGATAATTTTGAGGTGTGTATGTACTTATAAAATATTATATTTAACCTTTTATCCCGAGAAAATATATTAATTCCTTAGATCATTTGCCATTTATTAGTATTGATTATGGGACATTTTTCTATGAACTTATCTCAATGCTTAACTCAGAAAGATGTTAATTTCTCTGAATATATAGGGTGTGTCCTATATATAAGTATTGTAAAAGGTTGTAGATCTGAACAAAAAAAAACGTATTTTCTATCCATAATTTTTAAATAAATTGAAAATAGGTGAATTGTTATAGCAGAAAATATATGTTTTTTTCCCAAAAATACGATTCTATTGTGTCTGGGATCGAACTATACAGGGTGGTCCGAATTGTATTACGGAAACTTCGGCAGCATATGCTATAGATAAAAATAAGTAAAAAAGTTCGTATAAATGTAGGTCCTAAAATGCTTAATTTCAGAGATACAGGGTGTAGAAGTTTCATTTTTATTTCAATTTTTTCTAAATAATTTCTGAAGTAACGTCAATATTTGGATGAAAATTGGTGTGTCGGAGTTTTTTGACATGAGAAATTTGATTTTGATGTCAATATAACTCCTACTAGTAGAGGGCGCCACCTACATGTATTTTAACTGTTTTGAAGCGTAATAACTTTTTCCGTACCTGTATAAAACTACCGAGCGAAAAAATATACATCTCTATGACTTTTTACGAAAAAAATATATCTTTGTAAAAATCGCTACAAGCAACCGTTCTTAAGATATTTAGAATGGAAATAGTCAATACATGACATTATTGACGAAAAATAAACACTTTGAGTAGATAGTAGAAATTTATATTTTTTTAAATTAATCATAAATTTTTCTGCAAAAAATGATGATAAAACAGTTTCTGTTGAACTTTTGGCACAAAAATATTTCCAATTTATGATTTCGGTCTAATAACTATTTAGTCAACATATTTAATTAATGTCAATGATGACAGGTATTGATAATTTCGATTCTAAATATCTCGAAAACGATTACTCGTAGCGATTTTTACCAAGAGACCTTTTTTATGTAAAAAACGTCGTAAATGTATATTTTTTACTCAGTAGTTTTATACAGGTACGGACAAAAAGTTATTACTCTTCAAGCCGATTAAAAAATATGTAGGTGGCGCCCTCTACTAGTAGGAGCCATATTGATATCAAAATAAAATTTCTCATGTCAAAAAACTTCCAGACACCAATTTTCATTCAAATATTGACTTTACTTCAGAAATTATTTGGAAAAAATCGAAATAAAAATAAAACTTCTGCACCCTGTATCTTCGAAACTAAGCATTTTATGACATACATTTATACGAACTTTTTTACTTATTTTTATCTGCAGAATATGCTGCCGAAGTTTCCGGAATACAGTTCGGACCACCCTGTATACTACCTAACTGAAATACTTCCAGTTATTTGAGAAACATCCTTTATATCATTATTTATATAATATTTTAAGGTATACTAAGTAAGGCACTGATACAGCACTATATGTATTTAAATTAAAAATACAAAACTATTATGCTAGATTACCTTAACGTGGCAAAAATTTTATCTTTTTTATTAAAATTTTAGGAACTGTTATTGCACATTATTTAAAATTCGCGTATTCTTGTACCGTAATTCAAGGGTTGAATTATAATTATTTATATTCATTTCCAAAAACTAACTACGAAATATGTAATAACTAAAATAATAATATGGAGTTTTAATACTTACCGGCCATTTTTTTTTAAATTTCCTAGCGATCTTCTTTCCCAGAAATTTGAAAACCAAATGTTAAACGTATAATAAATCTTTTCATTATATTTTATCTTATCTCATCTTCGTAACAACTATCTAATATTTACTAATAAAATCTGTCATAGGAGCAAGAATTAATTAATATAAAGCATATAAATCACATGATCGATACTATAACCCGTCTAATACAATGTGTTCAAAAATTTTGACATTTTTTTTTCTATACATATTTTCACCCCAATCGTTTTTTTCAAAATATGCTGGCACAGTAAAAAAAATCGTCGATATACAGGGGATTCAAATATCTTATCTAATTATCTTATTAAAATATTTTTAAATTATATATAGATTTATTAGTTTTTTAAATGAAATGCTGTATATTTTTATAAATATCGATCATTTTAAACTAAATTTTCTACATTTAAAGCTCTTTCAAATTAATAAATTAGCAAAAAATCAAGATAGCTGTGAGCGTCAAGATGCCTTTGTGTCGATGTCAATGTCAATCTTATCGAATTCATAATAATTTTTAAATGTATGTGTACTTAACTTTTTTTTATTATTTTTACCGATATACGTGCATTCAAACACATAATCAATTAAAAAAAATGTGATAAGTGTACAAAATAAGTTATACCGTACGATCGAAAAAAAAACAGCGTCAAAAACGGTTGGGTTATAGATGATAATTTTAGATGATAACTTTAGAAAGATTAAAAAAGGATAGAACTTCAGACACACAAATCTCTTTCTAAAAAATTATTTTTTCTCGAATTTTAAAAATCATCTTTACCACAGCTTTACTCATATAAAAATAAATTACAATCTTCTTAAAACCAACTAAGCGTCCTTATAAAATAAAGAAGATTACGGGCCAAGTAAATATCGTCTTGGACTTGAGCCGTCTTTGACGCCGTTTTTTTTTCGATCGTGTGGTAGTTTTAACCGAGTTCAAAACTAAATTTGATAATTAAGACAAGAGATTTTAGGAGAATGAACCGGTGGAATTATTTTTTTAATTCCCCGGAAAATGTAAAAATAAATTTAAAATTATCTATAATTTTTTTGCCAAAAAAGAATTCATGGACGTGTTTCTGGGGTAGAACTATACGCTGTATCTATAATAAAACATTTTATTTCATAGATATAACGAGAGTATCTAGGACAGTGACAGTTGTGTCTGTCATTTTTTGGATGTTATCTGCTAAAATCTTTCCTGATTTGTTGGACAGACTATAATTACAGACTATAACTGCAGCTTACAAAATATATTAATAACATATAAATATTAGAAATAAGCAATTAGTGACGTTGAACTAGAACTTCGTAGGTCTTTTAGAATGTTCCTGTCCTCCAAACGAAATGTAACATGTATGATGACTGGGATGTATCTAAAAAAAATAAAACAATTTATAAATGAAATTAGTGTTGTTTTTAAAGCATTTAATCCATTAAAACAATTTGTGTTATGTAAATAATTATATTTTTACTAGTCGTGGGAACTATCGAATGAATACTATCGAAACATTCGATAGTTGCAATTCATTCGAATAATTCGATAGCTAGTAAAAAAACATTCGTTGAAAACTATTCGAATAAAAATTATCGAATAGATGCGTCATCTGCCTTGAAATATTGTATTCTAGTAATTCGGCAGCAAAAACCATTCATTTATAAAATTCATTCATTTATGAAATTCATTTATTCGTCAGGATCGATTATAATAAAATATTAACTGGATTTTAGTTGTCGCCCGGCGACGTAGGTTTCTTTCGAGAAACCCGACAGCGGTCGGTGGCAATGCTAGAAAGAAGCCGGCATCTTTGATTTTTGCGGAGTCATATAAAGATAAGGACACATTATTATTTTTTTATTGAGGTGCTAGTATTTACACAGAAAATACATTATGAAGGGCGCTGTTGCCATATATTGGTATTAGTTGATATTAGCAAAGAATATTATTGTTTGGCTTTAGTTAGTTAGGGATAGTATGTCTATATATTTTGCATTTTTTTATTAATATTCTGTTGTTAGGTTAGGTTAGATAATAAAATATTTTGGATGTAGGAAAATGATTTTTAATGTTTTTAAACAAAGACTGGTTTAATAAAAATAATAATAACAGTAATAATTTGTTATACCTATTAACAACAAAATTTAAAATAATTTAATATAAACATTTTTTTTACGTAGTAGCAAAATATAAACAACAAATTAGATGTCAAAATTATTTATATTAGATCATATTTAAAAATAATATAGTCTTTAAAATTTTTGGCATCGTTGGTTTATTAAATAATAATAATTACAGAGCTAATTTGTTATATTAACAACAAACTTTAAAATCATGAAATATAAACATTTATTAATTTTCTAAGCATGCAGTGTAATGGAAGGAAAATATAAATGAAAAATTAGAAATCAAAATTATTTATATTAGGTACTTTATATTATTATTTAAAAATAATATTTACTTTTACTGGCATTTACTTTAAAAAATAAATGAAATATTTCTTCGCAAAAAACTACATGTAAGAGAATTAGCATAAACAAAATACAAACATCGTTAACTTTTTTTTTAAATTGGCACTTGTAAAACTTCAAGTTCATCTCATCTCTCTTAAAAATTGCTACTTCTCAAAATTTCCCATTAAAAAATAGACCATATATACCATATAAAATAAAATAATTGAAAGATCGGGCTACGGAAAATCACACAAATTTTCGGAAAAATTTTGACACCTGCACACGCACACAATCGTCAATTAAAAAACTACTATTTTAGTATTTTAAATATTTTAATAAACGCAAAAATAGCACAGTATTTATAAGGTGAAGTTATAAAAATTTGGAAGAACTAATAATGCACTGACGCACACAAAATCAAACGAATACTAAATTTCATTTTTCATTTATCAAAAGCATTCGATAGTCGTGGCTCAACGATAACCATTTAGTCGCACGGCGAGGTTGTCACATATGCTTTAGTATACAAATGAATGAATGATTTTATTCGAATAAAACCATTCGATAGTTGAAATCATTCATTCAGTAACCATTCCATAGTCTAATTCATTCGATAGTTCCCATCGCTAATTTTTACGTAGCTTTAAAATCACATAAGAAATTCGCCGAACTTTTTGTATAATATATATTTTTGTATGACGAATCGTTTTCTGTCAGTCTGTTCCATAAATTTAATATCTATGACCAATCGTTTTTTGAATAAATAGAGTTAATGAAATTCCCGGGATTGGATTATATAAATACCGATTTTTCATGCCATAGAGTAAATTGCTTAATTTCGGAACTAAATAACTTAATATTTCCCTAATTAAATCAGAAATAGAAAAGCTTGTAATCAGACTAGAGCTCGACAATTCATCAGATACTTCTAGAAGAGGAACCAGCAACGACAGCGAAGAGGATGAGCTTCCCATTGCCGAACTTCTGAGAAGAGAAGATAATGATCCTTTTAAAGGTTAAACTGCAGAAAGCATTACAACAATCTTCAAAGCCGATAAAAACCAAAAGAAGTAATAAGACGCGATTGTCCGACATTATTGCCCAAGAAATTGGATTATTTTCAAATGGTGGTAGTCGGGGACGTAATCTCCAAAAAGCTTTTGAATTTTTATCAACCATTCAGGCACAGAATATCTAGCTACGCAACAGAAAAATACTCGAAATGAAAGAGCTGAAATTGCACAAATAAAATACTAGATGGCGCGACAATATCATAATCTGAATATAATTGGAAATTTTCGGTTTTGGATCAACGACATGTCGACGGCCTTGAAGCTCGGCTAAATATGCACAGTTGCCAGATTCAAAAATACTTTAATTGGCATCCCATTCTTTTTCTGGTGTATAATAATTTCTTTCTATTCTTCGTTTCTTGTCAGATACACTTATATTAATTATTCGTTTGGCTTTTAAAATAGTTTTAAGTTTAAGTATATTATTAGAAAACATATGCTTACAAAATACATTTTTAATATATGTACACTACTTTATTATGTTAACTAAGAAAATAACTTTACTTACCTTTAAAATTAATATTATACAGGGCGATTGATAGTGATATTTATTAATGCTGAAACGTTAGTAATGAAACTACCGCATCAAAATATCTGATTTGGAGACAGGCTTTAAAAGCCTGTCTCCTTTTGATACCTACGATTTTATACGTGTAACGAGGCTTCTGTTGCGTAACTAGATATTCTGTGATTCAGGCCACCAGCGTGGAATCTGAAAGATGTTTTTCTTCGGCAGGGATCTTGTGTAATAAGATACGTTCAAGACTGGGGGATGAAACTTTGGACGCATTAATATTTTTGCGCTATTTTTTTAAAAATTTGTAGCTATAATTTGTTTGCTAAAATTTGTTTGGTGCTCATATGATTTTTTTAAAGAGTTTTTTTGTTAATTTTCGTGTTTTGTTATATTTATATTAAATTTTTTTATGATATTAGGTATTTCATTGATAATTTTAAACCCGGGATTTGCCGTTCAAATCTCGAAAATCCCGGGATTTTGAATACCTTTCGGGATTGACATCCCTAAAAAATACCGAGGATGTCATTTAAAAATAAAAAGTTGTAGTTATTTCTGGTGAAACAGGAAGTGACCGAAACTAATTGAATACGTCAATTAATGCTAATTTATGTCACATACTAACACACCAAATCTCGTTTTTTTTATATGAAAAAATAAAAAAGTTCTAGGGTTGAGCCACTTTTGAGAAACACTCGGTATATAAAGGAATCAGATGATATATCTCCTAGTAACTCACCTTTCCTACGGTTAGAGAGTTTCCATGCCTTGCTCTACCTATGTAGAGATTCTCACCCGAAGAAGTCCTACCACCAATCACAGCATTTGGAGGTACTTGACCATTAGTAGATGGTATCCAGTCAAACTTTTGCTCGCACAAAACCTACAAAAATGTAATAATTGTATCGAAATTATATTATTTGATTTTCTCTAATGTATATACCGGATGCATCTCAAAAGTGGCCCACCCCCATAACTTTTTCATTTTTCAGATAAAAAACGAGATTTGATATGTTAATATATGACATAAATTAGGATTG